ATTCAGGACTTACAATTTACAAACCAACAACAGACGCCAGTAATGTTGTAGCCATTGCCAATAATAGTGGGAAATTAAGATTTAGAGGCTTTAGTATTGATGCTTATAATACCAATGACACATCGCAACAGCTATTTTTGAATATGAATAATTCTAACACGGTGAGATGTAATAAATTAGGGATAGGAGCTAATGCCGTTGTGGATGTTCTTAACGTTAATGGTGGTAATTCTAACTTTTTAGGGCCGTTTCTTCGCAGAGTGAAATTTGGGAAGAAAGTAGTATAACGAAAATCCGTGAAGCGTTTTGTCTCCCTCAACTTCCTATTGTGTTGAGATTCCATGCGACAGATGCTTGCTTTCATTGAAGTGTCGCAGACAATATTAGTGTCTACGCTGCAAGACAGTGACTGCCCAAAATCAACCCGACTGCCGCAGCACACTTGTGCCGTTTCCGTGTTTAACTATATGCCGAAGCTTGCAGCTGCGACATGCTTGTGCGAAGTTCGCGCGCGAAATTTGCCGCGCGAAGTTTGGCGCGCGAAGTCTGGTCTGCGAAGTTTGGCGTCCGAAGTTTGGGCTGTGAAACCGAGCGCCGACGAGGATCGCAGCGAAAATGATACGCGAAGATGTCGCGAAGTTTGACGTGAAATGTGCGCGAAATTTTGTAAGAGGCGATTCCTTCCTTATAAAATTCCACCGAAACTTCAACAGGTTTTTCGGCAGGACCTGCGCTCACACTCGCCAACAAGGTTCACTCTTTCTCCAAATGTTAGGGCCGGCGGCGCGGATTTGTCTCATGTCGTCTCTCTCCCAGGGCCTGCTGTTTCGGCAGGAGTTCGCGTGCGAAGGGGTGCTGCAAGCGCGGCGGGCGGGAGCGGTGCTGCAAAGCTGTCCGGTCACATCAGGTGTTGCTAGGCAAAGCAACGTCGATGAAGTGGCCTTCCGGCACTCCTACCAAAGGTCTGAGTAGGGACCAAAGGACTTGTAGAGCTATTCTTCCAGATTCGGTCGGGTCGAAAGCACGGCTGTTGCGACCTTCGTTAGTTCTAGGCCTCACCTTTGCCCAACCTCACGAAAAAAGACAAAAATGTTTCGGGCAACAGTTCTGGGAGCCCACAGACCCAAAACTTTAGTTCCACTGTAAGGTTTAACGGCGCTACTACTTTTAACAATGAAATATTGATATGGAACAATAGCAAGTTATACAGAAGAGCAGACGCTAACAATTCATTAAACTTAATAACAAATGACGAAATATATTTCTCATTCCAACCAAACAGAGCAACCGATCCAACAACAGGAACTATAGCATTACAACTAACCGACACTAACGGAATTACAATTAACAGAGCAGTTACAAATAATCAGACTTTCAACAGTATAGGAAAAATAACAGCAGAAGCAGATTTAGATGTGTGGGGTGGTGTTTATTTTCAACATTCGTCAGCAATGATCATTTTATTGATGACAGACAACAAGGTAAATCTTGTGTAGGATTTATTGCTAATGATTTTATGGAAACGAAGAAGATGCCCGACGAATGGCAGAATGTAGAAAAAGAAGGAAAAGATGGTTATTTAAAATTTGATTACACAACATGTGTGCCAATTTTATGGAGCGCTTTACAGGCAACAATAAATGAAGTAGATAAACTGAAAAAGGAAGTAAGTAAGTTGAAGAAAAACAAGAGTGATAGTGACGATGCTTTAGCATCCTCAGGGCGAAGCCGTGACGGCGAACGAAGTTCGCCCTCAGGACGAAGTCGTGACTAATAATAATGTTTTAGGAAATAATATTATTGGTCACCTATTTCAAAGCGTTGTTGGAAATTAATATAAAACATGTTATTGACATCTTTAGCGTTCGTGTTTATGTAAAAGAACGAGTAAGGCGCAAAGTTCACCGCTTGTTGATACATGTCATAAAGTGTTCGCTTGTCTACAAGGGCACTATTCTCTTCTAGGAAACTATTTACCTCGTTCATGTTCTTCAGTCTGAATATGAAAAGTGCCGAGGCATTAAGTCTTATTATAGGGGCAAGGGCATTATATTTTTTGTGTTGATAAAATACATGAGATGGCATTATGTCTTCCACGTGTGAACAATCCATGCAAGATATTTGAGTATCTTACAAATTTAGGATCATCGGCAAAGTCGTCCACCACTATTAAAATACTGAATAGTTCCTTTTGTTTATTCTTCTTCTGGAAGTCTATTACCTTGTGTTGCGTTTCTATTATATGCTTTAATGCAATTGGATCGTATTCTTCATAATATACTTTTTCCTTTTCGGTATCCACTTTCATTACGTCAGTAATGTATTTCTTGACTGCTCTCCATGTGTCATCCACATGCACACTAGGGCTAAAAATGTATATTCTCTCAAAAGAACCTCGGTAAATCTTTAAAATTAGGTTTTGTATTAAAACGGATTTACCACCTGTTGAAGAAGCAGCGCATAACATTCTTGCTGGTAGACTTGGCATCATCTCGTACTTACTATTCTTATAATTGTATTTGGGTATGTCTATAGGTTCTACTTTAGGAATATCTTCTAACATTAATACTAGTTAGAAATTATATCATTTAAATATATATATGGATCGGTATATAGAAATAATACATGAGATAGAGAAACTTGATGAAATATTAAAAACTCCAAGACATAGAATGTGTTGTCGTAGTTTGTCGGATTTTCTTAAGGCATTCTGCTTTTATATAAAAAATGTAAAAAATGTAAATAATATAAATGAGCGATAAAAGCGATGAAAGCTATAAGAAGAAAGGTTTTTCATTAATTCTAAAGGTGTATCTTGTATCCCTTGTAGGTGTAAAAGACAATCTTATCATAAGGAAACAAAAACGGTCAAAGAAAATAACATAATAACAACGAACATTGTGGAAGACAGGCATAATATGAAATTTGGAGCAACGGGACGACATGTATCACCCGATGAAAACCACATATTCAAAAATGATAATCAGACAGGAAGCATTGAAATATGTGATACTGGTTTTGGAAGTCATGGTATAACACCCGAGGAATGCGAACAGAGAATAGAAATGACCGAAACAGACATTGAATGTATTAAGAAAGACATAGAACGATTGGAAGTAGAGATTGAAGAATTAAAGTTTAAAACTGATAAGAAAATTGTATAATAATATAAATATGGATTGTTTGTTTCCGAAGAAAGAAAACAACGAAAATAAAACAGATTGGCTGGCGGAAAGAAAAAATATCAGAATGTATAACGCCAGATTAAGTGCTATTATAGATGAACTAGAGGATCATTATCATTATGAAGAATATAAGAAGCGATTTAAATTGTTGTTTGAGTTTTATCAGCTGAAAGAACTGCTAAAATAATGTTGTAAAGAGTGATTTACTTATAGAATGACAGCGCCCCACATACGCCTCACCAGAGGCTCGCGATCTTTCGTGACAGCATTTCTCCCATTTCCCCAGTGTGCCTTCCATAAGCATGTCAAAAGAACATGGTAATGGTTAATTAGCTTGAAACAATGATTGTCATAATTAAGGAATTTTGATAAATATTGTAAAACAATATAATATGACAATATATGTTGATAAGATAACCATGGGTTTTAATACTGAGCATTACCCTCCCCATTGTGATCGGCAATGTGTTAGATGTAAGAAGTTGAAGAATTTAGTGCATTTCAAAAGATATTATCATTGTAAAACGAGTAAGTATTTAATGCAGTGTAGAACCACTGTTACTTGTTGTGAATGTTTAGATAACATGAAAGCATACAACGACAAACGAAAAGAAGTGAGTTTCAATGATAAAAGGAAACGTGAGGTAAAAGCATAAGTATAATGTAATCACATTTCATAAGAGTTTATGGAACGTAATTCTATTATGGCTACAACCTTTAACCCTAAACCTAGTCAAATCTATAAGAGAACCTTTGCCCATTTCGGGATGATAATACCACCTTAGATATATTGGGTGAAGTGTAGGGGGGAGTATAGGAATAATCGTCTAATGGGTTGACTGGTGGTATTATCACCCAAAATGGGCAAGGGTTCTGCTAACTTAAGGATCCTACTTTTAGGGTTCTATAGTTGGGAGCCTTTTTTCTTTCTTTTTCTGAAGCTCGGAACACTCCCAAGCTCGGAAGACGAGAGCTAGGAATACTCGCCAGTTGAAGGCAGATCAGAGTTAATCGTACACGCACTGTAACAAGAGGGTTATTATACATCAGGGTTTTACATTAGTACATCATCGAGAAGACGCAAGAGGCTGGTCCATGGACCAAGGAGGATGGATGCAGTGGAAGGGGGATGATCAGTGATGCGGTTGTGTACTGTGTTTTGAAGGCACAAAGACTTATGGTTTTCTAGTGTTTCAGCTCCTCCTTCATCATCGGCTGCAATAATCTGCAATATGTGCGGGAATTATGGTGCAACTTAACCGGCGCCTCTTGGTTCACGCCTTGGGAGGGCTCTCGGTGGTAATCCACTGTGTGAGTAAGACTCACAGGATCCTCGCCGAGTGTGATGTCATCAGACTGCTACTAGGTTTAGGGTTTAGGGTCTGCTACGTCATGGTTTAGCCTGGGTTTGGGTTCATGAATCGTGCCCCATTGTGTGTCTGGTGTTCTCTGCCCGAACCGAGCTGGCGACAACACAGCCGTTGGTCCTGACTTTCTTGACCCGCCAGCGTAGTGTGCTCTAAGGTTCCATCGGCCACAAATATTGTACCCCCTGCATGCTGGCATTCCTCACGTATCTTACGTATCGCTTACATACCGCCCCCCCCCCCCCCCCGCACTCCCAGATCTTATTCTAATTCCCGAGGCCCTTTTATTCAAATGTCGAACCGTGTTAAACCAAAGCCCGAAACCCTGTCAGGGTCCAAGAGCAGTCCAAAATCATTTACTCGACAGTTTCCAAGCTACAATTACCACGGCCTTCAACCCAGTACCTTCATTCCTGGGCAAAGCCCCCGAAACCAAACCCCAGGTGTGATGTGGGTGTTCGGTGGCCAGAGCGTCCGTGGCCTCCTCTGCATATGTCCCCCCGCCCCCGACCTTCGGTTTTCAGCATTTCTGAAAGGACTGGGATTGGGCTCAGGGGTCAGGGTCGAAGGCTTTGCGGGTTTCGTTGTTCTTTACAGAGTTGGGATTGCCGAGAGCTTGAAGCCAAATTTCTGCGGTTCGTTTATCACGGCTCCAACTGTTTGGGATCGAAACTGCCGCTCTAAACCTTAGATAAGCACCTCAGGATCCATGATTTTCTCATGCAGCCAAAACCGCGAAGAGAGAAGAATGTTAGGATTCTCGGCTGTGGGGCTCAGAGGTTTGAGGGGCACACCCGGCAGTTAAAACTAGCCCGAAACGGGCATCTTTTGTGGCCTGTAAACTGCCCTAGACACGAAAGGCTTATCCCAAACGTGTAAACAACAAAGCATAGCCACCGGACCCTGAGTCAGGTACTAGGTGGCAATTTGGGAAACTTTTTAATTTCCCTCATGGTTCCTATAGACGTACCTATTCATAAATACTTGTCAGAGCCCCAAAACTACAACCCAGGGTATCCTAAACCCTAAACCCTAAACCGTGCTTGGTGTTTTAGAGCCTGATAGTTTGTATGGCACTTGGCATTGGCCAGGCTCCCTGTCGGGGCGATACACTAGCGCAATAGTTGCTTGCATGCTATAGCTCGTGTACACAGAGAGAGAGAGAGAGAAAAAAGAAAGAGAGAGAGAGAGAGCAACCGAAGTGCTTACAGGGTTCTGACCAGGTCTCAGTATAAAGATCACTTAGGTAGTCATATTATCCCGTTATAGCCCCACACGCCCCAAACTGGATTCCAATTATGAAGGCCACCGTATTAGGTTCAGCCGGGAGGGCTTCGGCGGGTCTCTTGGTTCCGCCTTCGGGGTTGTTTTTGTTGAAGCTTAACCCTAAACCCTCAACCCCAAAAGCTTCCCGAACCTCAGAATCGACTCTTCTGCACCAAACCCTAAACCCCCTACACCTTGATTCATGAAGCTCCGAACCCTATATACCCTTTCTGTGTTGGTCCCAAGTCTGACGCCACCCCCGTCAACAGCTTCGTATCAGAATCCCTAGACCCTAACCCCCACCCCCTCTTCCCCCAACGCCCTGTATCCCTAAACCCAAAACCTTAAACCCTAAACCCTAAACCCCCACCCCCTCTTCCCCCAAAGCCCTGGCTCCCCAGGCCAGGAGAATGACTTGTGGAGTATTGACCTAGAGGCTGGTCCAGACAGAGCTTTGCGGCTTTAGCGGGCTGCGGTTTATCATTTATCACGGCTTCAAGCTTTAGGGGTTTAGGGTGTAGAGGTTTGGGGTTTATAGGGTCAGATAGCTGAGGCGCACAACTTGAGGCACTTCAGCGAGACCTCGTGCACAAAAGGGGGTAGATGATGCTGCATCGGCTTCATAGTAGCTTTGTCTAGCTTATCCGTATGTGATAGACTTGGTATACGTGCCTATGTGCCTTCTCTTTTACAAGGCTTTTGATGTGTTTTCATTGGTTTTCGCAGGATGTCCACACTACGGGAAACAGGCGTTCACTGGTCTTCGTACAGTTTGCGGTATTCGTTTGATCGGCTTGGTCGGGGGTGGTGTAGTTTTCTTACGGCAGCCATCACGGCTTAGACAATGGGTTGTCGGAGTTTTGGCGGCATTGATGCTGTTTCAGTTCTTCCATACAGTTTAGCTCTTTGGCATAGGGTTTGGGCCCCAGGGTTCGGGGTGGAGGTTTATTGCTTTTGTTTGAACCTAAAGTCTATATATAGGGGTTTAGGGTTTATAGCTGTTCTGGCTTAGCAAAATGATTTACGGCTTGTGGATGTCTAGCTCACTGTCTTCGCCTTTTCGTGTCCTCTGGGTTTCAGGCTGGGGGGTTTGATTTCTTGGCAGTTCAGGGGTGTGGGATATGTTGACGGTTGGCCTTGATCGGATTTACTGGCTTGGAGAATTATAAGATCTGATCTTTGGGGTTTCGCTTTGTCGCATAGGTCCATCGGTTTGCAGTTCGTAGCCTCCCCAGTGTGCAGTTTCGCAGCATGTATGCAACAGTAGTCAGCCCATGCATCCTCTACAGATTTTCGGTAGCAACTTACGGCAGATCGAATGGACCTGTTCCTATTCAGAGATGGGCTGCTCTCGCTGGGGTGGTCTGGCTCTTGCCTTCGACTACGAACTCCTAAGCTTGGTCCGAAACTAAACTTTGAACCCTAAACAAACCTTAAACCATAAACCCTCAGGATCGGAGCCCCTCAGCCCGAAAGTACAAGATGTAAAGGGGGGAAACAGAGGCCCGTGGAGGATTATATAACAGCAAACTAACACGAATCTTAAGCATCGCAGGACATGTTCACTTGGTGTAGATCTTGTGCAACAGCGAGTTTCATAGTGCACGACGCGAGTTGCATGTTTGAAGGGGCCCGAATGTAGCCCCTCAATAAGGCCTCCGGAGCAACATAACAAGGCAGGCCTACATTTGCCAACGTAGCCCTCTACAGCCCGCTGTGTAACAAGTATCCAGGGAAGCCTTCCACAAGATGGGACAGAACTAGTAGACAGAAAACCCACGGACTGTACGAAGCCAAAACGGGCCTTCTTGAGGCAATGCTACACCCTACTCATTTTTTCCACACGAACAGAAGAGGCCAATGCTCTTGCTTGGCAAGAGCGATCTCCATCGGGCACTTTGCCTGGTGGGCGAGTCGACCACGCTGCGGTGATTACAGGCATAGTCGGTCATATCGTAGGCTTTTCGGTGTTAGATTTTCGCCGGTTTTTTGTCGATTTCCGAGGGGGTTGATTACAGGCAGGGCTTGCCACGGAGTTCTCTGTCAGGGCCTGTCTTGAGTAACCAGGATAAGGATAGCAACTTACATGCGATGCATCGCCAGCCTGCGAAGTTTACACAACTTCCTTGAGATCCTACCTTGGTATCTCGGCCCTGAGTCTGAAAGAGAGCCCAACAGGAACCTCTAATGTGCTTGTATTAGCGTTCTTAATATGGATCCGAATATATAGGGGTTATAGGGCCAGGGTTTCTTAATCAGGTTCCTACATTAGTTGCTTTATAGTTCTCCAAAGGGTCCCAGGAACCTCATCATTAGGTACTCGGGTTAGGGATAGTAATTAGTGATTCAGGTGACGCAGCATTTGGGGAAAGTCGAACGATTAGGTTCGTTGGAAGTCGAACGATAAGGTACTTTGGGCCCTGGAACCTTAAGGCGATTCTATATTATATAAGGGTTTCTGTAACGGCCTGTAGGAGGGTCACCATAAGAGGTTTCATGCAGGGGTTACTGTTGTGGGGATTTCACTGTGTAAGTTTTCAGATTTAAAACAGAGGTGCCGGACGCATGTGGATCTTCGGTGGCACCAGCTGTGTCCTCAGCATGGAAGGGTCAAGCTTCCAATTCGTTCCTTTCCTGATTCGGGTTGATGCTTGATCGGGCTCAGGGGCCGTAAATGCTAAACCCTCAATCCTGTCAGCTTCTAGTCCCGACCAGTCAAAGCACTTCGCACCAGAGACCTCGTCAGGCTTGTCCGAGTTGCGAGAGCGTAAACCCTCAATCCTTACGTACAGCTCTCAGCATAGCGTTACCCTGCTCTCTACGCGGATCCTGGGCATGAGCTGCTGTGCACTGTTTGCTACGTTTTCGGTTGTCAGGGCTTGGTTGGTGATGAGAGCTAAAGCAATAACTCTTTGACTTCTTATAGGCCATTGAGCCAGCAACCCTAAATCTTTATAGAACCTCGTTTAGGACACTTAGAAGACGCGGGCAGGGTCCCTAAACTGACCTTTGGTTAGGTGGAAACGGAGGAATGGAGTACACTTATAATTATTATTACTACAATTCTTCCATTCCCTACTAAACAAGATCCGGAAAACCCCGAAGCCAAGCCTCTAAAGCCTCGGTACTGTGCTGAGGCCCCACAAAAGACGACTTGTGGTACATCGATACGCAGGCACTTCGGGTATGTCCTTCGGGGATATTTTCCGGGTTCAACTTTTGGTTCGGGGTTTGGTTTGTGTTGGCATGTTTTTTTTTTCTGTTGTGTATCACGCTTTTGAGTTCGAATTGGGGTTGAATGGTTTTGCGTTCAGGCTGTTGTGTTTAGGTCTCCCAGGTGCCGAGTTCTAGGTTGGGCTTGCGGTTGAGAGGTACCGGAGCTTTGCCAAAGAAGCAGCTTCGACATCCCTTTGCCCTAAGCACTATATGATTTGCCCGGCTGCGGGTGTTTATGGTGTAAAGCTTTGAGCATCGAGTTTTGGACATCAGTGCTCTCCAAATCCTAGGGCTCAGAATGGTAAATTACTGGAATATGCATGAGTCATTAGTGGCCCATCACCTGACGGCCTTTGGTTCGCAGGAATTGTGCATCTAGGCGTCCCTCCATTCGAATATATATATATATATATATATATATATACACATATAACCTAACATACACACATATATACATACATATACATACATATATAAATATATATATATATATATATATATATATATATATATGGTACCCCCCCCCCCAAAGACCAAGGTTTCTATATGAGCTTTAGATACAAGCCTACTTACACTGGCCGATAGTCGTTGGTCTTGGGGGGGGGGGGGGCAGGGTGCCAATAACAACCCTGTTAAGGTGTAGGGACAAACATGCATGACACAACCCCCTTGTGGTTTTCATACAAGCCTGCATACAATAATCCTGATACCATTTCCTGTCGCACATTCCAGGAGGACTATTGAATTCAATAGGCCCTATTGAATTCAATAGGCCTTCTGGATTGAAGATTGAAGATGCCCTCAAAAAGTTTCCTGAGAGATCTTCAATCTTCAATCCGGGAGGCATATTGAGTTCAATACGCCCTATTGAACTCAATAGGGTTTATCTTGACATCGATCATGAGGGCCGTACGTGGAAGTGTGAAAATTGGGTTCAGGGGTCAACGTCTACCGCTGCGTTTGCGTACTTTTGGAGTACACTCATATGGGTTTTAAGGGCTATGAAGAGAAAGACATCAACTAGACGTATGATACTACCTTTAAGCTTCCCTCAACGTAATCTTTTGAATTACGCCCAGCTTAAATTCAGATAACACTACTATTTTTATGCAGCAAATGCAGTTGGACTACTAAGAATATAATCGAGGGCTCAATCTATCGAACTGTATACTACTGAGGTATCAAAAGCACATACTTTAACGTCCATGTAGCTAGCAATCTATGCATGAATGTATATGTTAGATTCAACTATTGGAAAGACTACTAAATGGACCGTATTATTGCAATACTTAGAACTGATTTGACATAAGTAAATAAACACTCCGCCTAAATAGGTCCGAGGATCTGGCCTATCCAGCTGTTTGCGTATTTGTGAAGATAATATTCTACAGCTATATACTAAGCTACATCTTCACATAAGTATAACGTTGTCCCTACAGGCACTACTGTGAATGTATCGCTTTCTGAGTTCGAATTAATCGGCGGACAACAAACCCTCTATGCTATTCTTATATTTAAATCTGACGATTGTTAGCTCAGCAGGCCCTATGCTTAAATTGATCCGAGGATTCAATTCAATCTACCCAATTATCTAATTACCAACATACAGAAAATAATGGTTCTGCAGTCAGTAATCCGTATAAGTATGTCATTATCCCTGGGTGTAGTGATATCATATGAAGCATTATAATTTACATACTTTTCTGTCTGTCCGTGTTAACTGGCATAGCACTTCATGAATAGCTTAGTTGTAGAGAGAGTTCTTCAGGCTGTTTGGCTCCTATTCAAAAGTATAGCTTCCAAGGTTCTACTATACTGCTTCTATTAAGCAGCTATCTGAGTAAATCGCAACAAGGAATCTCAAGCCATATTATTAGCAATTAGCAGTTAACAGTCCCTGTAAATTCGATTGTATAACCAATTGCTGAGTACTTAACCTTATTTTTCCAAGAATGAAATGGTGCGCTAAATTGTAACACCGAGGTCTTATACTTAATAGGCATGTTTAAACTATAAGACTCTATGCTTGATATCTCAAACATAAGTCTAAGAATACATGTCTTTGTAGGGCAACATCTGTAGTAATTAACAAACCCCGGAAGTTCAATTCTATATTCAGCTGGCAAATAGTTAACCTTTTCTTTTCGCATACAACAAATGGTACGCACTAAACGATGGCATCGAGGTTCTATGCTTGGTAGGTGTTTTAAACGTTGCAAGTAGCTTGATTTCTTAAACCCAATAGTATAAGAATAAATGTGTTTGTGGGGTTGACCACATACTACAACTGAAGCTAATAAATCACACGGCATGGGGCGAGTTTTCCATACGAAGTAAGCCGTCAACAGAATATGGCACTTGAATGGAAAACGTTTTGGTCGTGATCGCGCTTAGAATGGCTCTAGGCGAGAAAACCAAAAAAATACCAACCAAAAACAAAAAACAATACCACCAAAAACAAAAACACTACCAACAAAAACATTATCTCAGCACTCAGCCAGAATAGCATTAGAATTCTATATTAATGGGAGCACCCACCAATGTTCTTATCTGAAAACCTTGGTCTTTGGGGGGGGTAGCATATATATATATATATACACATATATTGAGAGAGCAGAGCAGCTCGGTCAAGGAACCTCAAGGCTTTAGGGTTGTAGGGTTTAGGGCTTAGACGTTAAAGCGTCGGTCTTTGGGGAACTGTCCAACTGCTCGAAAAGTTGGTGCTATGGTTTCGCATTCGTAGACCACAGAGTAGTCTTTGCAAGCTTACTACTTGTGCCACTTGTATGTGGGTTTGAGCTCGGAGATGTCGGGACTGTCGGACGAAGGTGCAAACGATAGAAAGAACAGCGTTTTTGATGTCTTGAAATCTTCAGAGAGCGGTGTTTGATGCTTTCCTCTGCGTCTTGTTGCATAATTAATCGTGTTCTCTCTGGGTGCATTGAGAGTTTGAGAAAATGAAGATCCTTACTGTAGACCTGTAAAAGGATCCTAGTTGGCCCAACTGCGTCCCAAATCCCAAGCCGTAAACCCCATTCAGCGGAATAGGACCCTCACAGGCGCATCTCCCCAAGCTGTTAAACCCCAAGCCCGAAACTCCCAAAGCCATAAGGCCTTGTTAGAGCCACGCGCATGTCAGGGCCCAAGCTTGCAGTGGAACGAGGTGCTGCCGTCCGGAACCTTGCCAGCAGCTCTGGCCGCAAATTCTACGTTTCCGGCTTCAAGGGTTCCAGAAGGTTTCAAAGTTCTGGATCGGTTTTGCTTGGGTGCTATATGGAGTGCATGAGGAGCTTAAGGGAGGTTATCAGTTATAAGCTTAAGGCTTAAGGTTTAAGTTAAAGGGTTCAGGGGGCCGCAAAAGTTGGCTAGTTAGTAGTGCTTTGGCCTTGTAGGATACATAGGATTCGCCCTAAGGCTTCTGGCCCTGACATTGTTTGACGTCGACATTGAGTTTCGGACTTTTAGATTAGGAGCCGAGGGGTTGTAGGGGTTTAGGGTTTAGGCTTGTTAGGTCTCTTGGACAGGCTTCACAGGTCACTCAACTATTCGGGCTTCCATATGGGAATCGGTTTCAGGTTGCGGCGGCATCCCCATGCGGATGTCTCGTGGTGCTGCAACTCACATGCCTGAGAAAGGTATTACGGTTGCTTCTTCTACTTGACGGTTTCCTTATGACATTCATTACTCGCCTTTTAATGACTAGGTGCCCTGATAATGCAATCCGTCTTTTCATGCAGGCTTACTTTGGGTTCCTGGATTTCTGAGACTCCCGTTTGATCCAACCTCCTCTTGCTTCTGATGCACGGTTTTAATCTATATTACTGTCTGCGCTGCTACGACGAAGTATATGGTTCAAGGTTCTACAGTTTTGATTTGAAGTCTGCCTAAACAAGCCCAGGCTTGTCAACACTTTGGTTGGGTTTGTTGAAACTTGAGCTTGGTTTGTAAGGCGACCAGACCAGATCCCTGACCCTGTTATTCATTCAGCATCCCCCAAATGCATCCCTACCATCATCTCAAACCATCTCTATAATGGGTACGTTTAGTCACATTGTGTGGGCCTACGGCCCAGGGCTCAAGATTTCTTTGCTACAGTGCGCAAGTCCGTAGCCCGAAAACGCCCTAAACCCTTAAATCCTAATCTTCTAAACCCTTTAACCCTATAACCCCTAGACTCCTTGGCAGATCCCAACCTTCATGGAGCCAGGATGCTCGCTACGGTCACATTGCGGTGTTATCTCCGGCCGGGGAGATGTGGATCTATGGTGGCTGGGGAACAAGAGCCTCTGCCTTTTAATGGCTGTATAGGGTTCATAGGTATATAGGGCTTAGCGGGGTTAGGGGCTTAATCAAGGGGTTCAGGGTTTAACGTTGAGGGTTTAGGTTCATTATGGGATCTTGGTTGAGGCTTTCAGGCTTTGCGGCCTAGGACGAAGGTCAAAGGCTATGCAATTACGACGAAACCAATCCGACATTCAATCCGACTTCAAAAACCCTGAAAGCAGAGCTTTACCTCTAGGCGGTATAGACCTTTAGATTACACTCCAGACTCTCAGTCTCAGCTGTTCTGAGTGAGACAGACATTGGCCAGGCTGTGAGGGGAGCTTCCAACACTTAGCTCTCTGTCTCTGCCTCTCTCTGGCTCTTTCTCTCTCTCTCTGGCTCTCTCTCTCTCTATCTCTGTCTCTCTCTCTCTCTCTCTCTCTCTCTCTCTCTCTCTCTGTCTGTATACGCATATAAATATACACACACATACATGTCTGTATGTATGTCTGTAAGTATTTATGTATGTATGTGCCGACCTACATGTTGGTAAAATTAAATTCGTGTGATGACAAATCCCAGGAGCTAGTTCGACATGGGGGTTCTTAAAATTTGGTGGGAATGTACTCTACTAGTTCCTTATAAGATAGCTACACGGTAACGCTTCCCCACTTGAACCTTAACACTCATCCCCTTTTCGGCCCAAGAACCCATCATAGAACCCTGCCCAGCCCTAAGACTTCCCCCTTTTGCTCAAGGAGGATGCCATCATAGAACTCTTTAGATCCCAAAACCCTAAACCCTAAATCGCCCCGAGGTAGGCTGGGTGACCTCTGGAGGATCGATCTCGAGGCTTGTCGTCTTTGTCCGGAGGTCCATGTTTCGGTTCCTGCTTTCAGGTGTTCTGTTTAAGGATTCCCTGAAGGGTCAGGTCTTTAGCCATGTAGGCGAAAGCCCCAATCCGTCCAGGGGCTTAGGGTTTGGATTCCTTGTAGGGCTTGAGGTTTCATGCTTTGGGTCTTGATGTGATCGTTTCACTAGTCTCTGTTGGCTCCAGTTGCTGTAAATATGGAATTGCTGAACCTGACCCCCTAATTCGCTACTTCCGTACACCCCCGAACCCTGCAAACCATGTATAAGTGCCCACCAATAGCCTTCAAGAAACCCTGATGCTGACGCAGGCTCAGAGACTTGTTCCGGAGCTTCCCATTGACTTCAATGTCCCTGGATTAAGTGTGTCGCAAGGTTTCACCAAGGGCTGCCAAGTATGTGGGTCAACAATCACCGGATGCTAGCCCTTTATCTACAGGGGTTTGCGGAACACAAAAGGATTTTGAGCCTCGGGTTGGTTATGGAATTAGAAATTTAGTGCTTACATGTGTTTAGTGAGTTTCCTGAGCCTTCAACCCGGAACGAGAAGGATCGAAACGTGCCAAAGACCAGCCGTATTGAAATAGTGCGAAAGTCGGCAGCAGAAGAATGATAAACAGTCATTCTGGTCGTCCTGTCGTAGTGTGTAACAAATGGTCTCAAACTATCAGGCAATTGCGAACTCCATTGTTGCCATTGTTTAAGTTCGCTAGTTATGCAGCGTTGCCAGGGTTTCACAAGCACCACGACCACGTCTGCAACATCATTTACTACCGCAACGACGACTTCGTTGTCATCAACTACGTCGTCCGCGTCCTTTACCACTACGACCACTTCCACATCGTCGTCATTGACCACGACAACCATGTCAACCTCCTCAACATCCTCATCGTTGACAACATCGTCCACATCAGAGACAAGTACCACCACCCTGACTTCTTCGTCGACACTCTCCTCAACAACATCATCTTCCACATCAGAGACAAGTACTACCACCCTGACCTCTTCGTCGACACTCTCCTCAACAACATCATCTTCATCTACCTCTGGCACCTCCAGCACGTCAACAACCACATTCTCGACATCAACATCGGCGACAACAACTTCTACATCGACTTCTTCGTCCTCTTCGTCTTCTTTAAGCACGACCTCGAGTTCGACGATGTCACTGACGAAAACCTCATCATCAACAGTGACAACAACGAGGACTGCTCATCCGACACATTGTCGACTTTGTGAAGCATAAGTGCATACAGAGGAGAGAGGGATAGAGAGAGAGAGAGAGAGATAATAAAAACTTGCTGCAGCGTCTGCGCAGCCGAAGCTGCAACAACAGAAGGCGAAGGAGCTGCGACAGCAGCAGCAATGGTACTAGTGGTGGTGGTTGTGGTGGTAGTAGTGGAAGTAGCAGCGGCAGGAGGAGAGGTAGTAGTAGTTGTAGCAGGAGTAGTAGTCGTCGTGGGTGTGGTGGTCGTGGTGGCAGTAGTAGCAGTAGTACCAGCAGCAACAGCAGCAGCAGCAGTGCCTAGGTGGTTTGTGTGCTGTCGTGGCGCCTGCTGTTTGGGCAACAAACAGTAGCCAGAACATACGAAAAGCATCGCACAATTTTCCACGATGAACTTACAGTCTTTACAGTCTAGAGGACAATCTCCACGACGTCGTCGATGACAAGTTCGACGACCACGACCAGCTCGGCAACACAGACCCGTGCCACGGCCAAAACCGCGGCCGTCAACATCTGTGGCCGCAAAACAGTGCTGGCTTGGCATCGGTACGACTGTAAGAGACGGGATTTGTCACCATCTGTTGTCGTCAGCTATACTGATAGCTCAGAACAATGCTTTGCCGACTGTGTTCTTGTTCGTCAAGACTGGTTTTGAATTCAGGGCATGGCTACAGGAGAGTTCTTCGAGCCGCAAAAATGCTACAAGTGCGAATCCGCAAAGTACTTCCAAACACCACCGGTTCCGAGATCTTGTTGTAGCTGGCCAATGATCTCGTAACGGCCGCTACAGACTATTCGTACAGGGTTTGCTGGACAACTGTAATTAACTTCGACTAGAGTGACTAGGAGCCTGAACACTGTGAAATAGCTGTCTTTATAGCCCCGATATAGCGATACCACACGCCCTGTTCTAATGATTAAGGCCGCCATAACCAACATGGGTCACGCGAGGGCCCTTCGTGACAACATCTAGACCACCTGGCGGCTTCCTACTAATGAGGATGCTGTTTCAATGTTTGAGAATTTAGGTTTGGATGCAGGTTAGGTTTTGAGGCACAAAGGGACATGTTAAACCCTGCGTAAGGCCTTGAAGTGCGCCAAACTATCAGGGTAAGCCCAGCGTTTTGATGGAGTTGAAGTGTCACCAGGACCAAGACCATTGGGATTTGTTTTGCCATCTGTGCTCGCATGGAGTATCGAGCTTGGGTCATCTATGTAGTCATATTAACTAGTTAAAAGACTCGTTGCTCTTATAGACCCACACCTATCAGTTCCTGTATCCGCATATAGCTACAGCATACATCCGGGTTTGGTGTTCAAGGTGTGGGATTGGGGATCTCGAGTTTAGCAGTTTGGATTTGCTGTGCATGCAGCGTAGGGGCTTTTGGTGTTAGGCAGCTCACCAAAGCAAGGCACGCTGTCAAGCACGACCCGGACTCTTTCCACAACCACCGCCGCTTGTTCTCGGTCAATAGGGTGATGTGTTTGCTCTGCGTTTTGTGTTTTAGTCTGACTGGTCTCACCATGCCGAAGCTTGTTATACAAGGGCAAGAAATACCTTGAAGCCATCGCCCTCCATACTACCCCATTAAAGCCACTTGAGCCCCAAATTCCTGTACCTTGAAGTCCAAACCTGAGCCCATGTTCTCCCGTGCCCTACTTCTTGATCCAAAGGCCGAAACCCTACATCCAAAAACTGTCCAGCCCTCAATCGTGAAGACTGTAATCCTGAAACTTTCAAACGACTCCTCAGTCCCGAATTAAAGTTACGTCCGAAAACAAAGCTCTAAGATATTCGAAGATATTTCTGGTTTCCAGCATTGGAGCTCGGATGCTCAAGCTGTTAACACCGTGCTGTTGTGTGTGTGTACCTGTATACATGTGCATGTACATGTGGGCACAGGTATGTGTATGTTATATAATTATATACATACATACATACATTCATTCATACATTCATACATACATGCATACATACATACACATATGTGTATATATGTGTATATATATATAGATATAAGCTCATGCTGGCCTTGGCAAGCTGGCGGCACCACTTCGAACCGTATGGGAAGCCTTGAAAAGCCAGAACCTCCCTATAGACCACCCGTACTACCTAGAAACACACCAAACAACCTTATAGAAAGACCCTAAAACCCCTAAACCCTACACCCTTGACCCCTAAACGCTTCAACCCTACACCCTAAGCCCTTAAAACCCTGGAACCTAGAACCTGTTCTGGCCCAGGCAGACAGCGAGCTGATGAGGGAGATCAGCTCGCTGATCGGCGCCTCAGCGCTTGCTTTTGAGGGGGTAGAGGGTCTCCCCGGACCCTGCGGAAGCTACCTTTTAGGGCTCCGCGTTAGGACGTCTTTGTGTAGGTCCTTGAACAAGGTACGTTACTCAGGGTCTGGCTTTTTGGCGGCTTTCGGGCTTGACGAGGGTTTCATATTATGGGTTTTCTAAGGGTGTAGAAGTGTAGTGCATTACGAGCGGGGAAGCGTATTTCGGGCTTCATATCGGTTTCAGGGTTTTAGGGGGCTTTCATTGGTTTTCTACATGGTTCTACACCGGACTATAGAGTCTAGTCGTCCCGTGCCTAGTTTATACAGACTTGGGGGTTGCATACCTTTTGTAACAAAGCCGAAACTGTGCATGCGACTTGGGATCGCGATCTGGCTACTTTCTTGCGAGAATGTATGTATGTATGTGTGTATGTGTGTATATATGTACACACAGTTTAAGTTAGAGGGGATCTGTAGTCTTGTGTGTGTGCGCATGTTTGCATCTTCCATTCCTTAAGTGGGAATCCCCGGGGTTTGGGGCGATAGGTTCGTATGATTTGCATCAGGGGCACCGTGGAAGCTGTTACGGTTGTGGAATATGGGAGCTCGGGAAAGGAAGCAGGCCCATCACAAGCACTAGTTTCTTAATTCATTACAGTAACCCGAGTAAACCCCATATGAAACGCTTATAGAGTCCTACAAACTCCTTAAAACGCAGTGCTTATGAATCCCCATGGGGAGAATCTGTCGGGCTCTGAAATTTTGCGGTCTCTAGGACCCTAAAGCCCTAAAGGGTTTCTGTTTTTGTCGGCTACCTGTTAAGGTTCCCTTATAGTACCCTTATAGTAAGCCTTCAAAGGAACCCTTTTAGCATCCATATAGCCTTTCAGGGTTGCTTTCGTGCAGCGGGAAATCCGAGCAAGGCTCGATAAGGGATCTCTGAGGGTTCGGGATTTCTCTGAGGGTCCAACGAAGGCAATGCCTAGGGCAGTGGTAATGTATGTTCGAATGATGGAGTACATGAGCTATTTGGCACTTGAAGCTTGAACCCCCATATGCGCAACGTATCCTGGGTCTCAGGGGCTGTGGTCCGAGTTTTCAGGTTCTGTGGCACGTCCCAAACCCTAACCCCTGCAACTACGAAGCCCCAAACCCTTGATACAGAAGCTCCGGCGACTATTAGCATGATTCCTTCGGTTCCTCGATATTCTGCGTATTCCTATAACATAGCCCCAGACCTTACTTATTCTGTGTTCCCGCCTCCCACAGTGTCCCATACCAACTTGGCATCTGAACCAGCTTTGCCGAAGAAGCTCCATTCCCATCCTCAAGCTCACCCGAGGTGTTTCTGGATTTGGCCCTTTAGGGTTTAGGGTTTAGGGTTTAGGGGTTTAGGGTTTAGGGTTTAGGGTTTATAGGGGTTTAGGGTTTAGGGTTTATAGGGGTTTAGGGTTTAGGGTTTAGGGACCCTTAAGCCCGAAGAGCAAAACAGTCGGAATCTTCCCGACACCCTAAAAAAGCCTAAACCCTATACCCTAAACTCTGTTTACGCCTGGATTCTCCGAGTGTGAGCGCCGAAACTTTTAACCTCAGCGATCCTTGCACCTTAAGTGCGGCACGCAGCAGAGGTCAGCTGGCTCAAGAGGGTGGTGAGTCGCTCAGTGCAACGACGGATCTCGGCACCTGAGTAGCTGCACCAGTAAACTTTAAGCGTTCCGTGGGGGGGGGGTGGGGGGGGGGGGGGCGGGTACTATAACCATCTTCAAGCAGTAAGCTAAGCTTTGTCGGGTAATTAATGTAATTCTGCAAGTATATGAAGTTTTCATGCTTCATGCCCTCAGCAGTTGAGGTACCATGGTGGCGTTCAAGACGCTTGGCTTGCTTGATTGCAGGCTTTGGAGTCAAGGGTTTAGGGTTTGGGGCCTAGGGTTTGGTGGTTTAGGGCTGTTGTGCTTATGCCATATACTTTCCTCACGAGGGGCTTGGTGCTTCAGCGCAACAGTGGGGGAATTCTGCAACCCTAAACCCGGAACCCTATGTTTCTGAGCATGAACTTAGGGCAGGGTTTGGGGTCTAGACTTAGAGTTTAGTGTCGGGGTCTGCCCAGATTTCTGACGAAGAGTCTACAGAATTCCTAATGGTGGATCCTCAGGTTGCCCGCCAACTCCAGTAATTCCAGCTTCCTTCCCTTGGTCGTGGAGAACAGCCCAGCTGCTGCGCTGCTGCCTCAAGAGCTCGTGCAGGAGGCGCCTTATCTGTAAACTTTATAAGCCCCTTTTAGCTTCTGGGCTTATAGGGGTTTAGGCTTGGAGTCTTGTAGTATATAACAGACACCAAAGCCCTTTTCTACTTCGAACCATCAGGCCCTTCTACTGGACCCGCATCAAACAGGCAATTTAGGATCCCCCCAGCCTTTTGGGAGTACTCAAAAAAAGCTAGGAACAACTAGGCCACTAGGCTTTGGCAGACAAACCCCATCGCTTGGAGGTCTCAGAAGGCCGAGGGGCGGTTCTCGTCGCAACCACCCTGGATGGCCCAAGCAGCGAAAGCATGGGTGCACCCGACCGGTTTTGGATTTCGGGCTCAGGGTTTCCAGAGACTCGTCCGAACTCTTAGATGATCAAGACTTCAAGATACTAGCGCCATACCCCTACACCTTAAACCCGAAAGCCAGTATTGCATGCTAAGCTGTAGACTTCCCCACAGCCCCAGCCCAGCATTGCACGAAGTGCAGTGGCTTGCCTGGCCTTGGTCAGTACAGTATCATGATTTTAGGTACGTTGAATCAAGAGGTCTCGGAGTCTCCAGGTTACGGGCTTAAGTTTACAGAAGAGGATGCCATGGGAGCCTATGGTTTGTACTTTTGGGCACCTAATGTCCCTAAGTTTTAAGACTTATAAGATTTCGGACTTCGTGGTTTGGAGCCTTTCAAGTTTGGGAGCTAAGAGAACTTCGGGCGGGGAGTAGAGTTCGGACTTGAGGTTTCGAGCCGTTCAAGTTTAAGGACTTGGGATTTCTTGGCAGGGTGTCGAGTTTTTGTATTCTGAATGCGACCCCAAACTTCCAAACTTCAAAGCCTGAACTCCTCACAGGACCCGGAACCCCGAGACAGACTTCAAGACCCAATTACTTGTTCTGGACTGCCACCCACCATACAGAAGTTTTCTAAGACGACCCATACACCGTCCTTACACAACCTCATAAATAGAGGCGACTTTTCCACAGGTGCTGGTCGCAAGATGCGCACGAACCTTGGACGGCCGATTCAGGCTGCCGTGCCTGCAGTGGACATCTCGATCGTCGACGTGACTTGCACGGATCCTACGTTCAGGCTTAGTTCAGGGCGTCTTTCAGAGATCCTTTACGCGATCAAAGAGGGTTTAGGGTCGAAAGGGCTTAGGCTGGAGGCTTTACGGTGTTCAGAGTGAAATGCGTCAGACCCCCAAGCCTGAGGACCTTACACAGTCAACACCAAAACCCGTAACATCTAGATGATTCGAGCCCCAAAGTTAACATAACATAAATCCTAAACCGTATATTCAGGTGGAGAGCTTGGGTGTCCTCGAAGTTCAAGGCACCAGGACCTTCTTTGTGCGGATTGCAGAGTCGCCTCCCGATCCGGAGTGGATTTGCGCTTACCTCGATGGCGACTCATGGCCGCTCGGATCCAGCATTCATGGGTCTTGAGATAAAGCCCCTGCAGCCCCGTATACGCCCAATATAAGCCCCCCTATCTATCTATCTATCTATCTATATATATATATATATATATATAACCCCATGAAGTCCGAAACCCTTCGCAAACCCTGCGCCTTATCTGTTCGGATTTGCAGCTTGAATTTCTTTGCTCTCGGTTGAGAGATCTGGACTTTGGCTCTTGGGCTCTTGCTCCCGAGACCTCGCTTGCGCACAGAAGTTAGGGTTTAGGGTTCATAGGGTTCGATTTCAAGACCCTAAACCCTAGACGAGGTTCATGGTGCGGCTGGCATGTCCGAGTTGTGAGAGCGTAAACCTTAAACACGTGGCGCAGAGTCTGTTCCTTGCGGGTGGCTTGCTCAACGTCTTTTGGCAAGCCTCAACCTTGATTGAAATGCTCTTCCGCATCGGCCATTGATGCACAAGTTGTTCACGGCCGATATGTTGTTGGCCTCGCGCTCTGGAGTTTGGGGTTTCGGTTATCATGACAATCACCACCCTATCTTAGCCACAACACCACTTCCTTCGTCACCAGCAGCCGTCTAGGGGCTCTTGCAATCGAAGCGCTCGAACCCTAAACCGAAACCTCACCACCATCATCGTCATTCTTGTTCAGAATCTCGTGGCTTTCCCTGCTTTCCGCATCTCCAGAATCATCCTTCAAGCACAGCACATGCAGCAGATGAGCCCAAACAACTCCCGCCTCGGTTGAGTTGGTCCTATATCTTCTGGAAGACCTACTTGGAGGATCATGGGACTTAGTAACTAAGGCAACTAAGGTTATAATTAAGGTAACTATACTTATAATAACTTATAACCCCGCTTAGGGGACTTATAACCTTAATTACTAAGTCCCATGATCCTCCAAGTACCTACACCCTAAGGCCCCAAGCCCTGGAACCCTGATCTGAACTCTGCTCCGCAAAAAAGGGGCTCTGTAAAACAGACAGATCAACTAGGTAGGGCTTTGGGACATTTTATATTTCCCCTTATTGGGCTTAAGAGGATCTTATTTACTAATATTTTCAAAGGCTTTAAAAGCCCCACCTAGTCAAGCACCAGTAAAAACCCAACTGTAAATGAACACAACGCAAGCCTATAAAGCCCAATACTAACCCGATGAAAAGCTCCTATTAAATCCCCTGTAAAGCCCATCAAGGAACCCTGATCCGTAAATCGCCGAACCGCAAACCCGTAGAGTTCACAGAGCCTTAAACCCTCAATGCTAAACCTTACATACTCTAAACCCTACTTCCTCCCATTAGCAGAGTAGGGAAACCTTTAACTTTGTTTGGGTAGTATAGTCCCTATATAATCCCTATATAACCAGAAAGGTTAACCTTTAGTTCCCCATGATACCCGACAAGATTTCCTCCAGGTCAACAGAGGGTGTGCGCTTGGCGACAACTTCGGAGTTGGAGGCTGCGCTCGGAGTTTCCGCAGACACGTCCGGGGCCGCCGGGCGGCATTTGTTTAGGGTTGAAGATCAGGGTTTAGGGCTTACACCCTAAGGCCTTGAATGGGTCTTTCGGACTTTGGGGGCCGGGCTTTCATTAGTGCAGCAGGGTTTTCAGGATTTTGGTGTAGGGCTAGGGTTTAGGGTTTAGCGCCTAGTGTGAAGGGTTTATTGGGGTTCCAGGAGTCCTTCGCAGGATCCGTTTAGGATCCAGTTAGCAGGTGTTCGGGTTTAAGAGTTGAGGGTTCCGTTTATGGTTCCTTCTGAGTGCGCTTAGGAGTCCGTTTGGGTTTCTGTTTGGTGACCTTGTCAGGGATCCCGCCAGGGATCCCAAGTTTTGTTGGCATTTAGGAAGGGCTAAGTGGTTTTTATTCAGTCGCTTGTGACACCATTTTTCAGAGGTTATCGGACATAGGGTTACAGGTAAGCTAGGGCTTTCAAATTGTTACTGTCTTTGGGTCTCCTGTGGGTTCTATAGCTACACGGCTCTGCGGGGGTATTACAAGGTTACAAGTCAAGAGCGTATAAAGAAAGGCGTCTTGAGTAGGATTTGAGTGTCTTGGCAGTGTGGAGTTTTGTAGCTTTAGGTTTGATGGGAACCCTAAACCCTAAAGATTTAGCTTTGAGGTTCAGGATTGCAGGCTTGTGGCCGAGAAGTTAGGGTTTCGGACACAACATTAAGATTTCGGTTACGGCCTGCTCCTTAACACAGGGTCATAGCATGTTATAACCTAAGATTTTGGAGGCCGCAGGTTTGAAGGTAATCGTTGAGCCTGTAGAGATGCGTTGTGGGACTGTAAGACTGTATGAATGAAACGGGAAGTGCTGAGGCACTTGTGGCGAATCCTCGTGGTCAATTCTAGCGTACGCTTACTGAGTGACTGCGATCCCAAGCCGACCTACCCAATCATTCAATCCTGTGGACCGTTACGGGAAGGGTATTGAGCTTCTATCTTGGACGGCTTCTTCCCAAACACCGAGCCCTGTTCCCCAATCCGAATTTCAACATGTTTTGAATCGCTACTGGGGAGGTTGCGGAAACAGCATGTGTTTGTTGCGGGGGGCGCGGGGTCCGGGGCTCATCCGAGGTGTGGTGTGCTACGGTCCACTTGTCCATCTTCGGTGCTTTCATCGACATCCTGCTCGACTGCACGTGTTTTGCCAGCATTCCGTAGCACACACCAGCAGCTACAACAGAACGCTGGCATGCGAATCCTCATAGGGTCCGTGACCGTATCTATGCGCACATTTGCCATGAAATGTGTGACGTACTTGCATACTTTACTTGCCTCATGTCATGTAATGTGGCATCATGCAATGAATCATGCAAGCTGATCCGTCATACATCATCACCTGAAGTGCTGAATTTCAACTTTCAGGTGCATTCCAGATTCTGAAACCGCAATAATTGTCCAGCTGTTGAAGCCTGAAATAGCACAGCCACGGAGACAAAAGCGCTACATCCGAAGGATTTTTGGTGCCAAAGCACCTTTAGGACGTTAGCAATCCCCAGACCTTCCGAAATCCCTTAATTAAGGAATATACCTTAAATCAGATTAAGGATCCTACTATAATTTAAGGGATATTCTGGGTCTAAAACTTCGAAACTCTAAGCCCAGGCCCCCAATCAAATAAATACTTCAATCATTCAATTGCCAAGTCCAACCAATCAAACCTTAAATCCCCAACTCTAAAGCCTAAGCGCCCTTGAACCCTCTGCCCCTAACCCTCAATCCCGAAACCTGAATCCCTATGTGCTGGACAGTCGTGTACTCGAATCCTCGCCTGCTTGTCTAGTTGTGAGTGCTGAAACCTGAATCCCTAACCTGAAGCCTAAGCACCCCTGAGCCTAGGAATGCCAACATGTTGACGCCAGAGGGTCTCCGAGAGATTATCGATCGTCAGGGCTGGCCTTCCGGAAGCAGAGACTTTTTTCGGTTTAGGGTTTAGGGCACCAGGTAGGCCTTTGGGACACGTAATTGCTCTTGGTTTAAAAATACTTAGCACGATTAGGGTTTCAAATGTTATTGTTGTTACTGGTTAGTTTTACTATTCTTCATATTGGTAAGAGGTTTAGGGGCTGTAGGGTTCAAGGCGCTGGGTAGGCTTATGGGACATGTCTTTTCCGTGAGTGGCGTTAACAGGAGTGTCTTCACGAGTATTTTTTGTTAGAGGCTTTAATGGGCCAACCTAGTTCACATCAGGAACTAAGTCTTAAGAGACGCCTTGAAGGAAAGTGGCTCATGTAAAGAAGCGCCTTGACGGAAAGTGGCTCATGTAAAGGTTCCATAAGGGCCCTTGAGGATTGGAGGCTGTCATATCAGGAGCTAACGATAGATAGCTTGGCTTTCATACTGGTAGTACAAAGGGTTCCTTTGAGGATTTCATGAGGGTGTTCCGAAAAGCAGAGTGTCTCAAGGGTGCTCTTAAAAGCAGAGTTGGGTTTTCGTATAGAAGCGGCACAGATACCGTGTTCAATATGCAGGTTTGCCCAAAAAGCGTGAACAAGTGTGCAGAGAATTGGTTGGTGTGGACGCGATGCGCGCCGGATACAGGTGTTTCATGTGCTTTAAAAAGTATACACGATCTGTGCGGAAAGTGCGAGAAAATTTTTGAGTCCCGCCACTATCTACGGGGAAGCACGTGGACGTAATTGGTCCGCTGGCTTGGTTCATGCTTGAGAAACTCTGCCTCACTTCCGTGTGACGCATCGCCGCGTCGCTGTTCCGGTTCCAGAATTCTGGCTGCAAGATCCAGTCCATCGGTTCAATCTGTTGCACCTGTTGCTTTTGTTCCAAGGATAGTAACCACGTGGCTCAGCACCCCTCAATCCTAAACCCCTCCAATTGTAATGCTTCGCCAGAAGCCTCGGGGCCCCGGTTCGTGAACCCTGGGCTAAGCCTCCCCAGACCTTCCAAAATCCCTTAAGGAATATCCCTTAAATTAGAGTAGGATCCTTAATATGGTTTAAGGTATATTCCTTAATTAAGGGATTTTGGAAGGTCTGGGTCAACCCTGAGAACAACGTGAGGTGGATGCGGCCGCCTGCCCTGGCATTGTTCGTCCTCCTTGTGGGTAGCTTGGTGTTTCTCGGCGAGTTACTGTTAGCACGGATTCGATTTTGGGCCTGCTTCTACGGATCACGGCCATACAACAAGGATACTGTCAGGTTACTCTGTGTACTTCTAGGGCTTAGTATATGGCATGCGATGTTCAGGGCTATAGCTTATAGGGCTATAACAGCAGCATTACAGTGAGTTGTCTAGCTCTGCCATGGTATCATTGTAGGTCTTGCCTTCATGATCTTACATTGCCGCAGTATCTGTCCCAAGGTGCAGTGTTACATCAATGACGGTGGTCAGCGGAGGTGTATTCTGACATCGGCATAGGTCGATGGTGATTTGATGATGATGTTGCAGGTGCTGATATTGATCGCAAGAGCCAAACGTGGTGCTGGCTACAGCTGGCGGCATCCCGATGGCGATTGCAGTGGAAAATTATGATGCTGATCATCCTGTTTGTGCTGGGGATCACAAAAGAAGGATGAGCATCAACATAAAGGTGAATGTGGTTGTGCTGGTGATGTTGGTGGACGTCAACAAGATGAGTGCAGTGATGGTAATCGCACGAAAAATGATGCCGTTTTGCATTTGCGTTTCGAGAACAAACAAAATACAACGGGTGGATTAGTGGGATCATCAACGAAGTCTGCGACCGTCATCAACGAATAAGCTAGCTACCTGTCTGTCAGACTTTTTTGGAGAGCAACTGCTGAAGATAAACTATTCACGGGTCATGTACCGTATAAAGAAGAGCTCTATAGAACCCTACAAACCCATATCAGAACAGCAAAACATGCATCGAATAAAGTCCCCTGGATACAGCCCTTCTGAAACCCAGATTACGCTAGGCTCATCGCCTTGGGGGTGTGGAGTGATACCCGGGTCCGGCGCCTTGGGCTCTGGCGCGATGAGAACTTCCTCTCCGACGATGTGACCCAGGCTATGGGCTCATAACAACAGGTCCATGTATATGGGTAGTTGTCAAAATTAGGGTCCCTTTTTGGTCACCCTTAATAGTAGGTGCCGTGTCATATTAGGGACCCAAAAGGGAGCCATAATTTTGATTTTGGCAAGCATATACATATATATTTATACATACACATATTTATGTTTATGTGTGTATATATATATATATATATATATATGTATATATATATACACATATTTATACTCTCATGGTAGCAGGTACCCCGAAACCACATTAAGGATGGTCTTTTGGGGCCTAATTCCATGATGGTCGTATATATGGACCATAGCAGGGGTGGAGTTTGGGGTTAGTTTGGTGGTTTAGGGTTTAGGACAATGTGGGGCATCCACCAAGCTCCGCGTTCAACACCGGGGCAATACAGGGGTCGGCCTACTTAAAGGAGGACTTCTTAAGCGAGCTCTAACTTCGAACTCACCCCCCCCCAACAACCTTGATTGCTGGTAATGCTCCACGGGGCTGAGTTTGAGGTTCCACTTCCAACCAGAGGACCCTTCATACTTACTTAGTATGGCATGCCCGGGTACATTACACTGCATGAGGGCTATAACCAAAGTAATTATAAAGTCGCATCCTTGCTCAGACCTTTATCAACTTTGGAAAATTCAGGGATGCCCGGTCGCCTTTCTGGCTGGTTGAAGCAACCTGGAACCGTCGACCCACGACCGAAAGCCCCGAAAAATAGGCTGTCAAGGCGAAAACAGTTGTGGGATAATCGTCAGGCGTCGTCTCCAAAGTTTCTTCTGCGGCTGGGTCTCCGGACTGTGCATGTAGGGTACGTATATGGGTTTAGGCTAGGGTTTGGGGGTATAGGGTTCAGGGACCCAGAAGGGTTTAGGGTCCCTGCTGGCAGGCGCCTCGGCACTGTTGCAGGCGTCGCTCGGGGAAGAAGCAGTCAAAGTCCAAGAACGGTGAGGCCCGGGTCGATCGGTTAGGCAGTTTAGGGCGTGGGGTTTCTGGTTTAGGGTTTAGGTTCAGGGTTTGGGGTTCAGGTTTTGTTCGCGAGGGTTCGGATTCAGGAGTTTGATTACTTAGCGAGAGTGTTAATTACATCCGGCAATAATTCTAAGGAACTCCGGCCCAATGGTGGGACACGGAAGCACGGTATACTTGGTTGTTGATATTAAGGATTGCAAGGTAGCGGTTAGGATCCTACCATCCAGGTCAGTACACGGGCCCCTTACTTATTTCTAAACATATACTGACAGATCATCGTCCCCTCCCCTCAGACAAATCTGAGCCGCCAAATGAATAAGTCCCAAAGCTCAGAGCAAAACGCCCAAACTGCAAGCTTAAGTGTGGGCACCTAGAGATCTGAAGTGATCTGAGCGATACCTGGTAACCACATGTACAAATAGCCATGTTTAGGGCTTGGAAGCTCTTATGTCCCCCTTTATGAATAACATCTCTGGCTTCACGAGGCCGCCCCAAGGGCTGCCCGTGAATCGCACGATTTGCTTCGCCGACTTCGGCAACCTGTGTCGTGGCTCCCTTCAGACTGACCGGCTTTCACGAGTTTTGGGTTGGTTTTATCGTGGACGCTCAACAACATGAAATCGGACATCCACACCCCTTTGGTGGCGATTTTCGTTGCAGGCTAGGCTTTTGGGGGTTTAGGCTGACCCTACTGGAATCCCACAAAAATTCGTGTGAAGCCCTCCATTCCTGCTTTCTTTATCCTTACTGTAGATATCTTTCTTCAGGTAACCCAAAACCTTCGACAAAAAATAAGACCTCTATGTTACTGATTATAGGAACTTCGTTTCGGGTTCAGGGTTCTCGGGTTCGAACTTACCTGAGGCTGCGCAAGTGTTCTGAATCCGCGAGCTGTAGCTTCGTCATGATACTACCTCAGGGTTTTATGCTTGGGCTCTGCATAGGGTAGGTGGTCGTAGCTGGAGGGCAAAATAGGGCCGGAATAACCAACTAGGATCTTTCCTCAGGGTTCCGGACTCCTTGTTTTGATGATATTATAACATCTAGACCCCGAGCCTTACCAAACCCTCTTGGGTTTCGGGCCGATGATCCCAGGTGGCTGCGGGACTGAGGGAGTTTGTCATCTACCGGAACACTCTGTGGGAGGTTGCCAGGGAGTACAGGCTGCAACGCGGTCCGGGTTTATGTAGGTTTTAACTAAGGGTACTCTCAGGGCTTTGGGTTTAGGTTGTCTAGCAAGCAGGCGTGGGGTGTAAGTTCTGGGAGGTTTATTATAGGTTTCGGCCTAGGTTTCCAGGGTTGGGTTCCTTAGACCGAGAGACCTAGGCCTGTGCCAAGGGAATGCTGGCGACAGTGTACCCTGTTGCCTAAACACCCCAAAGGTCCACTTCTACTTGGCCTTCGACCCTGTGCCGTATCTCCAGGGAGGGAGTCTCCCGTTTAGAAGTTTCTAGTATAATATGGGGCCCTGTCTGGAGAAGTCCCCTTTAGAAGTTTCTGGTCTACATTCATTCGAGAAAGGACAACTCCGGAGAGAACAGCCCAGGCATACCAGCTCCATCGAAAGCCACATCTGGGGCAACTTGGTCCATGCTCCGGACAAAATTCAGACCCCGTTTAAGTACAGACAAGCAGACATATGTTGCGATCCACGGCCCTAAACAAACCAAGTCATGAGCTCTAGACCCTGAGCACTAGATCCACAATTATGAACCCTAAACCCCGAATCCGAACTTGCAGGTCTACAAGTGCTGCCTTAACCGTTTTTTCTAGGGGGGCTTTGAGGGGGGGTGATACGCACTTCGTGAGGGTTTCATTGGTCAGGCCTTCGTAAGAGCTGTGTCAAGGATTAAGAGGCTTATCCGGATGAGTCCTCCAACACACAAGCCGCTCTATGCAGCGCGAGGTAAGAGTGGCTGGATCCAGGGCAGCTTAGCCATGCAAACCTCTCCGAAGCTCAAGGAGCTAGCCATCAAGCTGGAAGAAGGCCGGGATTTTCTCACGGTTTAGGGCTTGAGGGGTTGAGGGCTCCAGCGTGACTTACGGCTGAGTGAGATAGTTTGTTTTCGGGGTTAGAGTCCGGGGATTGGGCTTGGCTTAGGGGCTAGCAGAGCTGTGAACCTTATTTTGATAAGCTGCTTCCTCCTGCAGCCCCGAATCGAAACGCGTACACGGTCAATGCCTCGATCTTACGACGTGTAAACCCCTAAGTACCTGTATAGTAAAAAGGGGTGTCTATCGGAATTACTGTTATGGTTTGGGTGTGTATCTCCCTCAAAGCTTCCCCTGAAGGATGCCTTAAAGTTAAAGGAGCCCGTAAAGATATTTAGGACCCTTCCGACAGAAGGCTTGCCGCGTGCTTTCGTCCGAGTCCACACATCACGTTTTGCTCGCGTACGGGCAGCCATGATGACAACGCATCCTGTGTACCCGGACCGTCAGAGTAATCTAGGGGCTTAAATCATTACAATAGGGATTTGGGGGTTCTTCAGTTTTAGAATATGGGCTTTAATTATTAAGGCGCCTAAAGTATCTGGTTAAGGCTTCAGGGTTTATAGCGGGGTTTAGGGGTCAGGGGTTAAGGACTTAGCACACGGTTCCTTAAAGGTTCCGGTCTTTGGAGTTACGTTCCCTTTGGATAATCCGGGGCTTTCGCGGATGAACCTCGGGTTTTGTGCGACGGCTTGCGAATTTGGCACGGGTTGTCCAGATCCAGATTGAGGCCCTTGGGTTGACCTATAATTACTGTTTTGGGGGGGTTCCTTATATTGTACTTATGGTATCATGCGCCCCAGAACCCTATTAATTATTCGGGCCCCTATATTCGGAATTTCAAGGGGTTTAGCTTCAGGTTAGTGCTCCAGGCCTGGTAGGATTCTAGGATTTCGCGACGGGCAGGTATAGCTTTCAGGTGCCCTTTGAACAAGCCACCTTCCCCGCGCGTTTTGAATTTTCGCGTTTCTGTTGCCGGAGGGTCGGACAAGCAATTACCGATTGCCGCATCTATAATAGGGTGCGAAGCGCAAACCTCAAAACCGGAAAAAAACATGCCTACATAAATCCGACACCCTACAACGTTAATTAAACCTTGAACTCGAAACCCTACAAACTGCAAACAACACTAAATCCTAAGTCCTTGAGCCCGAAACGTATACAGCCGAGGTATGAGCTCTGCATGTGTGACTTGCACATCACCGCAGCCAAGCGGGCCAAGATTGTGGGGGACTGTATCCTGGGAGCCCGGCCTTGCAGATTGCTCTGGGGTATCTTCAATCCAAGGGTAAAAGGAGGGACCCTTAATAAGGACCCCTAGGTATATAACCTTAAAACGGCTATTATATTTATATACCCATTATGTAGCCCATTATAGGGTAGGGGTCCCCATTAAGGGTCCCTCCTTTTTCCCTTTTGATTTAAGGGATTTTGCAAGAATTTCTGGAAGGAAAAAGGCGAGGGATCTCTGTCAGGGTGGTTGTCAATATTAGGGTCCATTTTGGGGTCCCTATTAGAATACGGCACCTATTAACCTATTATTTAGGGTACCCAAAAAGGGACCATAATTTTGACAACCACCCATCAGGGTTCAAGGCGGGGGCTTTTTGTCATAAGGGTTCTGGGCCTTCAAAGTGCAGAGACCCGACTATGGGTTCTTGTAGGGGTTGAAAGGTCGCTGCAGGCTTTCATACGGTTCTTGCCGGATTCTGAAGGTTGAATAAGGCCGTTGTCCATGCATAAACCCCATATTCGAGTATATCGATCTTGACGGCTCTTGGGGCGTACTTTGAGGGCTCTCTGTTGGTGTTCTCAAGGTGTTGAGAATGGTCCTCTCAACGCTTAAGCCCTTACCGGTGTGACCCCTTCCAAAAGCATCGCACCCCCATGAGAAGAGCACACACATAGCCCAACAAAGCCTCGGTGCCTTGTACAATAGCAAACCTAAGGGTTTAGGTTTTCCGGCTTACAGCAAAGCCCAACAAGAGCTAGGTGGTCGTAGAACCCCAATGGGTTCGACGCCAACTCGTCGACAAAGTTCTTCTTCAGCTCATTTCCAGTTGACAGAGTGAGGAACGCAGGATATTCACGGTTTCTGTATTCATAGCTTAACCTTATCCTTAAGCAAAGCCCCCACGAGGATCCTTGGCATTTGTGGCACTGTTCTTTTCAGTGGATGGCTCGGCCGTGGGCGCACGAAGTCCGGAAGAATGTCCCATTGAGCAAGGAGAGGGTTCGGGGACCAAGAGGCTCCTTCTTTCAGCGGTTTTGGGTTATGGGGCTCAGTTTTTTGGGGTTTATAGGCCTGGATACTGGGGCTGCAATGAACTATGGAAAGGTGATGGATTTTGCAACTCCAGTATTGATTTTATTTTGGGCTTTCTTTATGTTTTTGCTTTGTGTAGGTATTGAGGAACCCGGGTTCACATGAGTGAGCCCACCGAGCCCTAGTGAGCCCTTTCCGGCAACCTTGAAAATGAGAGTGCAACTAATTGCGGTCTGCGGGCCTGTCTGTGAAACTCACAGGAAGCTTCCTGTGGTACACCTTCGTGTCTCTCTTCTCCGTGCTCCTCAACTGCGTGCCCCGCAGTCTGGAGTACCGACTTGCGCAGCGAGGTTTCGTGCAGAAGAGCCACGAACACCACGCCCGGCAGCGACTCGATGAGCTTAGCGGTTTGCTTTATACTTGTACCCTGAGGGTTTCCCAAGACATTAGGGACTACTTTCAGGCCGATCGAAGTACATGCTATCAGGGTGCATGGACCCTAAGGGGTAGGTAACTGTTGTCCAGAATTAACTTGCCCCGAGGCAGATGATTTTTCTCGAACGCAGAAACCTTAAAACCAAAAGCTTCATAGAAACTTCCGAACGCAACCCCGACAGAAGCTGTTTGAAAGAGCCCCTATAGACTTTAGAAGCTTTTCAACAGAACCTGTAAAGAGGCCCTGTATAAGAGACCCTGAAACAGGCTTCTGAGAAGGCAGTTGAAGGATATCGGCTTTTGGCTGGTTGGCACCTGCCTCTCGCTCTGCTACACGGCAGTCAAGCAGTACTACCTTTTTTTAATGTCCTTCTTCTGTTGGGGCTCAGGACTTTACGGTTTAGGGCTGTGGAGGATACAGGGCAACCGAGGCTACCTGCTTGTCGTGACCGCCTTTTTGGCAAACCTTTCTGAGGGCGATGAGGCGACTGGGCTCAGCTTGATGTGGCAGGTTGGATAAGCACTTGTATAGATTATGCGAGTAACAACTACCCCTATTTAAAACCCTAAACCCCAAACCCTAGTAGTACGTAACAATATAGTGTAACCAGCCGTGAGCGGAGCATCGTTTTCAGACCGTTTCCACTTGGGTGCCTCAGAACTGAGGGGAAATGGATGTTCAGCTTCGCAGTGGTTGTTGTTCGGAAGCTGGTGGTGGTGCCGGTTCTCGCCACCTTGCTGTCCAGCGTTGGCACTGAACTTAGCATTTGCGCGCTCTCCGGGGAGGCTCTTTCCCCACCTAAGAAGTTCGGATTGGATCTGCAGCTTGCCACGGCTGGTGCAGAAACCGCTTCCTCGACACCCGAAGAATCGGAAGGCGCTGCGAGTGAAGTTTGGCACCAGAAGGTCCGGGATCTGGCAGGCGGGAGTTCCCAAAATGTGGGAAGCGTAGTAGACCCTGAGGAGTACAATAGTGAAGCTCCTGCTAGCTAGAGAGATCCCGATCTGGGGATTCTTGATTTTTCCGGTGCATTCTTCGACTGAGATGGTACTAAACCCCAAACCCTATGCTTTGCACCCTCAGCCGTACATGACCCACGTCCATACAAATTGAAGACACTACGAGGCCGTGGCATAACCGTTCGCCAGCTTCTTGACTTCTATGCCGACCTCGGACAGAGCACCATGAAGCATTTTGAACCTCACCAGAGCCATGACTCGGTTAGTAGATATCATCAAATTATGCTCTTAGGCGTTGAAATTCTAGATTTTTGGAATTTGGGTTTCAACGTTTTGTAGCTGGAAGACCAAGCCTCTTAGCTTGGACAGCTGCTGACATAAATCATATGAAGCCGAAGAAATCGTGTGATGGGCTGCATGTTCGAGGGCTGCGTAGAAGAGCTATAGCCATCTGCTCCGATCCATTTCGTTGCGGTGGCAAGGGATCGAGCCTGGAGGCTGTTTCCTTTCCCCCTCTCCCCTAAAGGGAACTCCAGAAAGTTGGAATATGGATTAATGGTAGGATCCCCTATAATTTACCTTAAAGGGGTTACGATAATGATATTCCAACTTTCTGGCTTTTACTTTAGGCCCACTAGCTTGAAAGCTAGACTTGAGACTAGATCCGTTGACTGTAGGGGCCGGCCTGATTAGTAACACTATGTAACACTCTTCCTCAAAGTCAGGGCTCGTTTTCATTACAATAATTAACCCTATAAGCCCCAAACCCTAAACCCCTAACCCCTCCTTAATGCCTTCCTAAGACCTGAAAGACATGCGAAGAGGACCATATGGGGCTGTAGCTAAGCTAAGGCCGAGGTCGCCTTGGCACAGCTTTGAGCACCTTCAGAAACCCCACAAAAAGTCCCTTTGAGGGTTACTTTAAGGGTTCCTTTAAGGGGTACTTTTAGGGATACCGTTAAGGTTCGTTTAAGGGTCCCTTTAAGGGTTATTTTAAGGGTTCCTTGAAGGTTCCTTTAAGGGTTGCTTGAAAAGGTCCTTTTGGTTTCAAACCTATTGTCTGCTAAAGGGTATAGGGTTCAGCTAAAACCCCAAAGATCCGAAAGCTTCAGAGGTCAACGACACATGACGTGGTCCGCCAAGTGATCATCCCAAACTCGCTTCAGCTGCGGGAAGCCCGCTTCTTTTTCGTCCTGCTGCGGCAGGCGTGGTACAGGGCTTTTGGCGTAGATGGCTCTACGTTTTTGGCCTATGCTGTCGGGCTGCAGGGTTTAAAGCATAGGGTTCGAGGTTTATGCTTCTTAGGGGTTTAGGTGTCAGGGTTTAGGATCCTCGTGGCTTAGGGTTTCGGGATTCGTGGGTCTGCATTTGGCAAGTCTATGAGTGAAGTGTTGGTCAGCCGACATTGGTTTCTCCCAGACTAACCCTGAGAATGCCGCAGCCTGCGGAATCGCAGCACCGTTTTGTGCAGCCTTGTGGTGTTGCTCTAGACAGCTGAATGCTTGAATCTAAACTCTGCAGTACTGTTGGCAGTTCAGTTGGATCGAGATGAACTTCATCCTTGCATGCATGCGATCTATCCGTCTAGAGTGGAGCCACTCTCTTCCGCAGATACCGCCGAAAGGCAAGATCCAGGTGACTGTCGACCAAGATATACATAAGGTAGTTGCATTCCGTCAGCCCTTTCACCCTCAACCCTTGCAGCCTCCAACCGCAACACACCAATCAGCCTAAGGGTGAGAATACCTAAGCCTGATAATCAGCTACATGTCAACCAAACGGGCTTACGAGTACTAGTATCATCGGAGAAACCACCTGATGATGAGGGGCATTGTGTTTTTGGGCAAACCCTAAAAACCGCGAACTCTAAGTTGGCATGCTTGGGGTCACGTTCCAGACTGCCGGGCAGGTGACAAATTTGGCTGGTCCTTCCAAGCCATATTGCTTCTTGGGCCATCTTGTTGTAGAGGGATTGCATAGTTTCTAGAGGACATACATGCAGCACAGTTTCGCAAGCGACTGCGCCAAGCGGTTTCCGGCAGGCTCATAGCTTGCTTAAGGCTTGGATGTTCATATATAGAGATGTTACGTTCTTCTGCCATAGACCTAAGCATTGCAATATTGGAACAAATCTGCTCCACAAGGATCACCCCTGATGTAGCTGTGGGCTCCAACCTTGATAAGCGAAGCTCTGGGCCACAGCCAGGGCGATGCCTACTAGAAAAGCGAAGGCTATGTAGAGTCTGGGGTGTAGGGTGGCCCGAATATTGTCGGTCGAGCCGTCACGAAGGTGAAAAACTCGTCGCAAAGCGAGAGAGAAGGAGAGAGAGAGAGAGAGAGAGAGAGAGAGAGAGAGAGACAGAGAGAGCGAGAGACATGGAGACAGAGAGACAAGCAGAGGAGAGGAGAGAATACTAAGCATCGAATCCTCCATCTCTCCGGTCTCGCTTGGTTTTTTCATTGGGCTAAGGCCTGGGGCTTAGGGCTTCAAGGCTCAACACTCTGCCCCTAAACTCAGGGTTCAAGCCAGGCCCTTGACTCTGGAACCCTCACTGCGGAAGAAACCTCTAAGAGACCGTCCAAGAATCGTTTCTGCTGCTTAACAAACAAAACGGTACTATATACAACTAGTATCGGCTTTCGGTAAACTGCTTCGGAGTAATTACTAAGAAGTAGTAAGTACTACAGCACAGTGCTGGGGCTCTTTTCAACAACTATATGCTCGTGCAAAATATTGCAGGGGCCATGGCAGGGACGTTTCCTGGAGAGACCCTTGACAAACCTCAATCCGTCAACCCTGGACCCTGAAATTAACCCTAAATCTTAAAACCCTGGAACCTTAACCGCCGACACACGCCGCATATCGATTTTCCCAAAAGAATCCAGCCGAGGCAAAGTGTCAGTCAGAGGCCCCACAGCCGAGTCAAAACCCTGGCGCCTTGGTCCTCGTATATATGTATATACACACACACATACTTACAAATATGTGTATATATATATATACACACACACCTCTCTGTCTCTATATGTGTATTTATGCCTATCCCATGACTGTTGTGCCTATCTGTAGCAACCTGTAGAGAATGGATGTTTTGGGTTTGGTGTAAAGTTGTAAAGCCTTGTAGCAACCTCATTGCGAGAGAAATCTTGGGCTCGGAGATGTTTTTTTTTTTGGGCTTCGGAAGTTGTGGGGTTTTCCTCCTGATCCATACCCCCGTCAACCGACATCTTCTTAGTAGCTGAGGAGGTAGCCTTTAACCTTTTGGGCTTCATTTTTTCGTACCCTACTTGAAAAGATTAAGCGTTTTGGGGGCCTAGGTTACTGCGCCCCCGAGCCTTACGATTTCTGGCTTCGGAGAGTTTCGCCAAGGAAAGGCGGAGGCTTCGCAGCTCCTGGTGCCAACAAGGGGACGCCCGCTTTTCGGCTCATCCTCGGGCGGTGGGGTTTCGGGAGGTTTAGGACGGAATGATTTGTTTCGAATGCCTGGGAAAGAGACGCAGAGCAAGAGAGGGACGGAGAGAGGGAGAGAGAGAGAGAGAGTGAGAGGGAGAAAGAGATGGGTTAGCATTTAGTGGTCTGTGAGTGTTCGTTTACACAAGCGCTTAGGGTTAACCGGCTTACTATGCCGCTATGTGTTCTTCAACACCTAGTTCCCGCTTGAGGGATTTGGTAGATTTGTTGAACAAGTTGTTACAAAGACGTTGTATCTCCTCTTTGAAGCGCCCGCAACAACTCTCTAAGGCGGGGCTTCGAGGGGGTTGTATCAGGGTCGTACAGTTGGCATGTCTGGGTTGATAAGCTGTCTTCGAGGCTTGTGCGTTGTTTTAGGGGTGCATACTTGCTTCTTGCTGCTTGTTTTCGATGGCTTAATCGTTTGAATGGATCGCATACGACTCAGAAGCCCTCGCCATGGGTTGCAAGTAACTGTTGTGGCTTAAAATCCGCAGTATTCCGAAGCCCGAGACCCCGACCCCCAGGCAGTTCTACATCCTTGTAACCCCTAAAGGCCCTAAAGCTCTTTGCCGTCGAAATTAGAAACCAACCGTGCTTGCCCGGGCTTCTGTTGCGGCAGCCGATAACACGTCTACACCGTTTGACACCTGAACAGCCCTGGAGTTCTAATCTACCACGTCAATATAGCCTCTTTGTTGCTCTCCTACTACTCTATACCGCTTTTAACCCTAAACCCTAAAACCTGCGAGTGTACCTGGTCGGTGAGCTCTGAGGGAAGGGTTTTCTACTTCTGGAGTGTGGGGGCGTAAGTCCCCTACACCCTCTCCTGGCCGACGGCCTTATGTAAGCCTAAACGATTGGGCAGACCTAAAAAGGAGCTCAAGAAACCCTGCGAGTGTCGAAACCCGAAACTCAAAGCCCGAAGCCCAAACCCTGCTTCGCGCATGTTGGGCCGGGAGTCGGTCGAGGTTTGTGTCCCATGAAGTTAGGATCTCGGGCTTCTAGTCCCTATCGGGTTGAGGATCTAAGGCTCCAGCCCTGGGATTGTAAGGTTTATCATGTCATGGCTTTGTGTTGCTTCGGTTTGGTGCCCATCCTGCTTATGTGCTACCTCGCTGGTTTCGAACTGTTCGTTATCGTGATTTATTGTGTATACTGTAGTCTTGCCATCTGCCTACTACAGTATGCAACCAAAAGGGGCCTTACGCACGACGCTCCGGCCCAGGCGTGGGACTCACAAATCGTGGCGGAGGACTTTCTCAGCCCTGGGGTAAAGCTGTGTGATCCAGAGTAATGCAGCGGCCGTAGTGACTCGCAGTTCTTTTCTGACTTCCGGGGGGAGGAGGACATGCAGTACGCGGTATTCCCGCCGCCGGGGCCCGACGGCCCTGAAGAGATAAACAAGGCTAAAGCTGAAGCTCTAAAGCCCCCAGCCAGAGGCTCTAAAGAGCTAGCAGCTAAACTAGCAATCTTGCTTCTAATCGAGACTAAGAGAGAAAACCCCCTTCGAGTCCATCAATATCGATCTACAGTGTATGCACGACACTACCGCTGCAAATCCGAGACTGGACCCTAAACCCGAAACCCCAAACCCTGAACCCCTAAACCCTAAACCCGAGCAGCTCAGCGAGCAAAGGGTGCCCACAAAAGAAAGCAACAAAAACCTGGCAGGACGTGGAAAAGGAGGACCGTCTCTTCTTCGAGCTCCTGGACGACGGCGCGCCGCCGGACCTCCGAAACCTTGGAAATCTGGAGCTGCCGGTGCCTGGGACGGTAGTTTATAAATGACATGACAAGCATATAAAGAGCTGAACAGACACTATCAGTAGCTAAATCATGTGTATGTACATATATAGTTTATACAGACACGCACATGTTCTGCATATACACACACACACATCGAGATATACACAGTAGAGTCATACTCGTGAGTGTCATAAGATTCTTGGTAGTGAAAGGTGCCCTCGGCGCTTTAGTATTAAGGGTACTCCAGAGCTTCCCGTGCGGCCAGTGAATAAGAGAGCGCGAGAGAGACAGAGAGACAGAAAAGGATAGAGAGAGAGAGAGAGAGAGAGAGACAGAGTGACGAAGAGCGGGGTGTTCTTAAACACAAGACATGCCAGTATAGGCATTCCGAAGATGCCAAGCCCTCCTCTTCAAGGTTCAAGATTCAGTGTCCTTTGTCTAAACTGAATGTCTCGCTGCTTACATAAATAATCTTATGGTTTCAAAGAAGACTTGCCCCGTGAGATTGCGCAGAGGAACCACAGTGCCGAGCATGAAATCCCAAGCCCGTAAGCATTGGTTTCGTACTGCAGACCCAAGTAGCCAGCGAGAGCATTGTTTGTGGCCGTCGCTGCTACGATTATGGCTACCCAAAGGCCCCAAAGTAGTTCCTTTTGGGGGTTCATATATAGAATCCTATAAGGTGATCCCAAAAAGGAACTACTTTGGGGCCTCTGGCTATGATCTTTGTTTGGTGTGCTCTAGCCTTGATTGCTTGAGCACTCTGTTCAAAACCGATCTGAAGGAACCGTAAGAGAGGGCACCTTGAATCTTTGGCCCTATAAACTAGAAACCGTATAAATAAGTGACAAAAATGAAACCTTAAACTGAATTCCTTGAGGCATCCAAGTTTTGGCATGGGCTACGCACAGAACTGCAACTCAACGACTCCCAGGACATCAAGCTCCAAGTCACTGGGCCAAGTTTTTTTTTGGGGTTTGGGTTTACGTGACGTTTAAAACTCTGTATCAATGGCTGAGTTCCGCCAGTCGTGCGTGTGAAGAGAAAGTTGAAAGCGAGGTGCGCCCCAAACGAAGTGCGTATAGAGTATAAACCCAGACACTTACCAGACACACTTACACCACACGCTGAGCTTGCAAGTCCTACACCCCGAAACCTGCACCCCAGGCTGCCATCCCTGAGCCCTTCACCCGAAACATAATTACCAACGGAAGGGAGTTTTGGCCAGGTTGAAATCACCGCTCACAAGACGGTGGAAGAAGCCAAGAAGGTTGCACAGAAAGCAAACGAGGCTCTGGAATCCGTTTTGCAGTTGCTGCAAGTTGCACCTGATGAGAAGTAGTGACTGTTGTGGCGATGGTTAGGGCGGTTAGGGCATCATGACCCCAACAGTACGAGAACCTTGGGCCCAAAACTCTTTCCTAAGCCCAAACTTATTCGCATGCGTCTAAACCCTAAACCTCCTAGAATTTCGAAAGCGCCGAATCCCTGCACCATTCAGCAGACAAGCCCTTGAAGGATCCCTTATGGGGGATCCTCGTGAGTCACGTGAGGCCCACGGTTCGGCCACCAAGTCCAAGTGGACTCCGACTGGACTTCCTTGGCGACAGCAGAGAGGCAGGAACCTACGGTTGATGATATAAATCCTGCATTAGCTTAGGGGCCCTAAACTATGGGAATAATGGTATATTCCTTAATATGGGTAGTGCAGGATTCATATCATCAACCGTTGTATGAAGGTCATAATCAGAGAGTTGCGATGTTGGCTTCTGTCAGAACTTATTGGGGTTGCTCGACGGGTTACAAAGAAGGGTTGAGGGGCGGTGCCAAAGAGTTCTGGCAAACAGCGAAAGATGTCCCCTTATCGTTCCTTTTGAGTTTATGTCTTGTATGTTATACCTTAACACAAATGTATGTACGGATCTATGTATCTACTTACCTCTCTACCTATCTATCTATCGATGCATCTATCGATCCATCTACCTATCTTATCTGTCTATCTACGAACCTGTCTATCTAACTATCGTTCGATCTGTACATCTATCATCTTTCTATCTACCTGTATGTAGGTGTATGCATATATACACACATGAATGCATGTGTGTTTACGTATATACCCATGTCACATGTCATGTCGGCATCTGTACATGCAGACCCCAGGGCCTCGTCTGACGATTACACGGGTTGCACGTTTTAGGGGTTGGGGTTGAGGGTTTGGGGACATTAGGTTATTCTTTGTAAGCTCCTCAAGCCAATGCCCTGGTGCTCCACACCACAAATGCTAGGGCTTAGGGTATACCTTAATCCCAAATAACCTACCTTTTTAGGGACTTATATAAAGAAATCATATTAGGGGACCCTAAAAAGGTAGGTTCCTTAGTGTCCAGGTAGGGTTTAAGGCCTTGCACCCTAAGCCCTAAACCGAGATCACGACATCCCAATCGACTTGTCTGACACCGACGAGCGGGTCCTGAGCATCGAGACCCCGCGTCGAACCTGGCCTTTGTTCAGTATGGGGTTCAGGGTTTTAGGGTTTAGGGTTTAGGCGAGTGGAGGGCATAGTGTCTCAGTATACTAGGTTTAGGGTTTAGGGTAGGGTCAGAATAAGTAGTCACGTTAATTCTAAGTGTGACGCAGAGGGCTAGTGAGGCTTGTTCATGGCACGGATACGAGCGGTTTCACCATGACAAACCCGGCCCTAAGACTAGACTAAAACCTAATCTGCAACCTGAACCCGTTGACCTTGAATGTTTACAGGGTTACACCATGCCTGTCGTAAAACTGACGCCTGAAAGACCACGCCCTACATCCGAATTTTTTGCCCCTAAACCCTACAAAGGTTACACCATGACCATCGCAAGCTGGCCGAAAGACGACGACGAAGAACCGATGCCGACATCTACCAGCCAAGGCTATGCATATGCCACGGTTGCAACTTAGATGCTACAGCACGGCATACTCTTTGCGCAGCTGTGTTGTTCTTCGCGTGGCCTGCTATGCATGAATACTTCGTAAAAAAGCAGTGACAGCATAGTGTAGGCAACTTGGTAAGGAGCCTTTAACCAGTGTTGAGTGTCATGAGCCGCAGAAACCGCTGGATAATCAGGACACCTCTTCTTCCAGGAGCAACTTCCGCAACTGAGGTAAACAATGGACAGCCCTACCTTGCTCAAAAGATGGTAACACACGGATGGCGAAACAAGTTCACTTACCTCCTTGCGGCGATCTTCGCGGATGCCTTGGATGTGGAGATGTACTTTGATTTGAGCAGTAATATAGGGGCCTTAATGATTAGAATTGGGTTTTGGGGCCCACTATACAGTACTATCTTTATGCCTCTATAGAACTCTCAGTTGTTATGTATTCTGGTAATGTTCGAACTTCGAATACAGCATTGTCGGTGTTGCAATATAGCTAGGGATCCTGGAAAAACCTGTTTATGTAATCTTGGTACATAGATCCGAAGCCCTAAATCTTTACGTGAACCTATTGATCCCACCAGGACCAGCGATGTCGAGTAACGAGACTAAAACCCGCAACCCTAAAGCCCTGATCCCAACCCCTCAAACCCAAGCCCCAAGCCCTGAAGCCCAACCCTAAAAAATGCCTCCTAAAGGCTCAAGCCGTTTCGTGCTGGTTGAAGGTATGATGAGGTGGCTCAGCTACTTGCAGAGCGCCAATTTGACAAGCTGGCCTCAGCCTTGCGCAGAAAAGGAAGCTTGGCTAAGCCCTATATACTGTAAACTATGGAGATGATACTATTGCTCTGTTTTCGGTCGACAAACATAGATGTGTTCCACAGAAATTGGCCACTGAATCATTGAAGAAGACCTAGGAAAGCTTGACATTCGCTATTGGGTATGTGCTTTCTGTGTGAATCAACATACTGGCATTTGCGCAACGCCACCACCAACGGACTCTTCCGGCTCCCTGGCAGTGGTTAAGGCGGGTTTGGGGTTCAGCGTTTCCATGGTTTCGGGCTTAGGTTGAGATCGCAGGACTTAAGCTTTTTAGTTTGCCTGCACTAAGAGCCGTCTTATTGATTCAGTTGAAATTTCCTTATACGAGCCCTTGCACTAGGTCTGGGGTATCTGAGATTTAAGGGTTGAGGCGATGGCTCTTCGGTAGAGATTTTGGGTTTGGGGTTCAGTAAATACATGTTTGACGTTTTGCCATGCCGACTACAGCCAACCTGCTTCAAAAACAGCAGAGGCTGTGCTATAACGCCGTGCTCTTGCGGAACATCGAAGAATTTCACCGGAGACCTTAGCGACACAAGGCTGCAAGCAAGCCAAATGCCCCAGGGATGCGCAGATTTGTGTTATTTTGGATTTCACGAAGTAGCTATGGTTGAGGTTCGAGCACTCTACGCGAGCAAACTCTTCTACCACATTTCTTGAAAAGGGTTTTATGGAGGTCTGGCTTCGCCAAGAGCAGAACCCCTCGATGTCTATATACTCAGGAATCAAGCAGATGCACGAGACCGAGATAGAGCGACAGAACCAAATGAGTGAGACAGACTGTCTGAGCCAGGAAGATGGTTGAGAGATCTTGTACAGAGAGAGATATGCAGAACAATGCAAAATGAAAACAAGAAGGGAGGAGGCTTGCAGACGCTCCTGGGTTGAAGCATAATCTTCAAAATCCAATCATCAAGCCCTGACAAACATCGAAGAACTAGCTGGAAGCAATAACCAGCGAAAGCCCCCTAGAGCCATAAAGAGACTAAACGCCCCTATGTGTGTTTCACTCAGGAGATGACCACCTCCCTAAACAATTCGAAGACGCTTAAACGCCTTCTAGGCCGCCTGTTGCTTGCTGAGGAGATGAATAAGTTCGATGACATGATGGCCTATCTGAAGAAGACCTTGCGGGCGCAGGGCCGTGTGCCCCGGTGTGGAAGCTTCTGGGGGACGATGAGGGTCTGAGTCAGTCTGAGTGATGAAACTGTGGATCCAACACGCTACCCGTTTTTCTGGTATGTGGTACCGTCGAAGTATGGGGTCAGGACCACTAACTTTGTCTGTAGGGCTTGCAAAAGCTTCGGGCTATTTGTAGTGATATGCCCCTCTAGCCCCTAAATTGTCATGGTAGAATAGTTGGACGTTCAGCCAGAGTGAAGCGAAGGATTTGGAGAAAAGGTGTTCGAGGCTTTTGGGCTAGGGAAGCCGCAAAAGGGTTGGCAAACCATGTGACCGGTGTACGACCAAGCGTGCCACAAACTCACAGTTGTTTCCTCGCCTTGGGACCACGTTTGTCACCCGGCAAAGCCCAGGTTCGTTTAGAGCAGGTGGTGGCCCTGGAGACCATTCCGATCAGGGTATCATTCGGCGATTGTAAGTGATACTTACTATAAAAGGTACACTACAAGACTTCAGGGTATCCATTCCATTCCGGCTCCGTATAGCCAGATGTCGGGCAGGTCTGGAGGTGATTGGAGAGTGTGTGTCGGGCTTTCAGAGGTTGGGGGATACAGAGGTGTTTAGGGTGAAGGGAATTTGGGGTTGGGCCCCAAACATTTGAAGCTGGCTTCGTAAACACGGACCGTCCAGAAGAGTTGCTGCACTATTGGTGCGTGTGTTTGAATGTCTGTCTGTCAGTCTGCCTGCCAATCTGTCTGCATGTCTGGCTGTATGTCACTGTATGTATGTATGTATGTATATGTATGTATTTATGTATCTATGCCATGCGTATGTATGCAGGTATGAACGCATGTAATATATGTATGCATGTATGTTTGCATGTATGTATGCATGTCCGTAGGTAAGTATGTGCGTGTATGTACGTGTGTGTGTGTGGGAATGTATGCATGTACGCATGTGTATGGGTGAATGTACGTGTGTATGTGTATGCCTTTAAGCCCTAAGCTCACATACATGTAAATGTGCATGCGCAGCCATATGTACATGTATATCTGTGTTTGCTTATGCCTGTGCATATGCGTGTGTGTGTGTATGTGCACATGTGCATGTGTACAAGTACATGTACATGTTCATATGTACTTATGCACTTGTGCAGGTACATGTAAGTGTTATTCTTGTTCATACATGTAGTTGTATGTACACGTATGTCTGTACCTATATATGTACAGAAAACATGTATACACAGACATCGATATACACATAATTGTTTCATGTATATATGTACAACACGTAAACTGGCACTGGCAGGGAGCCCGCGTTCAGGGATTCAGACCATGGGGGATGCAGGTACTTCATGTAATGTGGTGACCGTGGTGTGTAAAACTTTGAACTTTCTGCCGCACGAACCAACCTCAAAGTGCACTTGAGACACCAGCCACTTGCAAAGATCCAATCTGTGGCACCGCATGAACTGTGCGAAAAGAAAGTATTGTCATCACGGTTTGTTTCGTGGAGGAGACCGACTTTTCCCTCCTGACGCGGGTCTGGTGCTTGGCCGAGCTGGTGGAGGCATATGAAGTCCACCTTCCACAGGCATGGAGGGAGGGTTTGTAAGCAGAAGCCAAGCAACTATGGGAGCGTTTGCTGTATCTTTTGCCCGTATGTTGGTATATGTCCGTCATGTACATGTGACCCTCTCTTCTGCATATCAAAATACATACACGCGCGTGTACATATACACATCAGCACACGCATGTATGTATACAGGTAAACAGTGGCGCGTTCACCGAACACAGGCCATCCGAAAGAAAGACAGGTAAACAAAAAGATATATGCATGTACAAACGAAGTGTACATACATCTGTGTAAACCTTTCATACGCGACGCATCCGAAACAAGCATATGTACTTAGATGTGTATATAATACATATACTTGTCGAGCACGAGTGACAAATATAAATAAATAAATATATATATATATATATATATATACATACACACATGTGTCCAACAGTGAGGCGTGTAGTGAGTGTAGTGGTAGCAGGGCAAGTAGAGATGCTCGTAGTCCAAGTCCTGGTCCTAACCGTCGTCGTCGCTGTAATGTTCGTCGTCTTCGTCATAGCAATAGTGGTCCCAAACGGTCCTATGTACCGATATAGTAGAATGTAGGGTTTCCATATTAGGAGCTACAATTGTGAATTAGGAAATATCCCCATAACAGTAAACAGGACCCTTTTGGGAGTGTGGGCAGTGGTAGTGGGAGTTCGCCTAGAAGGTTCAAACCTTTACATGGGGCACACCGAGAGCATGGAGGGCAGCAGCGACCCTAGAGACCCCCGAAAGACTGAAAGAGCGACGCCGAGTGGTAGTGGTAGTGGCAGTGGTAGCGGTAGTAGTCGATGTGGTCGTCGTTAATACTTGTAGTGGTAGTAGTACTAGTAGTGGTAGTAGGGATTTGGGCCTGGGTTCAACAGTGGAAGTAGCAACAGTAGTAGCAACAGTAGTAGCAACAGTAGAAGAAGCAGCAGTCGTAGTAGTAGTAGTAGTAGTAGCAGTAGTAGTAGGAGTAGGGGTAGGAATAGGAGTAGTATGGTAGTAGTATTAGAAGTAATAGCAGAAGCAGTGGGAGTAGTAGTAGCAGTACGTAGTGTTAGTAGTAGTAGTCGTCGTCGTAGTAGTAGTACTAGTAGCAGTGGTAGTAGCTGTACGAGTCGGAGTAGGAGTAGTAAAGTAGGCCTTAGGAGTGGGAGTGGGAGTAGTAGTAGCAGCAGCAGTAGTAGCAGTAGTAGTAGTAGTAGTAGTCGTCGTCGTAGTAGTCGTGGTGGTGGTGGTGTTACTAGTGGTAGTATTAGTAGCAGTGGTAGTAGTGGTAGCTGGTAGTAGTTGTAGTAGTTGTCGAGGTTTCTGCCGTGAAACCATTCACACCGACTTTCATGATCATGACAGTTAGGCAACACTAACTCAATACATCGACAACTGGTGCTGCCAGAGGCCGTGAAGATGCACTCTGCCGCATCGAGGGATATTTGCTTGGAGAGACTGGTATCTTGACGGGGCTGCCTGGGGGGATGAATAGAGTATAATAGAGTTTAGTTGTTTAGTTTTTTTTCGGGTTAGTGCTCCAGGCGTAGTGTGAGTTCAAAGTGATTTGCCGTAGAGTGTTCGGCTGGCGGCTACAGAGCTTTCTTGTCAATCGCGATTGCCACGATGGGTCAGAGGAAATAACCGCAAACGTCAAAAGCGTGATCCCTAAACCATCGAAACCATCCTAAACCCTAAACCCCATCGCGATTGCAACCGTGCTGTGTGGGCTGCTCGGCCCACTCGGAGACTGTGATTTGGGGCGTCTTCATGTTTCCACTTCTCGCATGCGAAATATTTCGACCTCCAAGTATAATTGGCGGGTCCGGGGAACTGAGCTCATTGGGCACGGAATCTTGGTTACATATTCCCGAGCCGCCCATGAACAGCGACTCCCAAGCGCCAGGAACTTCAGCCTAGAAGCCTTGAACCTGAAACGTTTCAAGGCCTTCTGAACAGCAAAACCCTAAACCCTAAACCCTAAACCCTCTCGTAGCCAAGGCAAAACTCGATGTCAGAGACTCTGAAGCATCCTTTCCGGCAGATAAGGACCCCTCCGTTTTAACGGTTTTGGGATTTTGCGACATTGGATAGGGTTCAGAGGTTAATGAGGGTTTGGGCCAAGTTTGGGGGGTCAGGCTCAGGAACATGGCAGACAAGTAGATATTCCTTATATAAGCGTAGTAGTTTAGTCGTCGTGGCAGTATGGAAATGACTCCTTAATGATCTTCGCGTCAAGAGGCATGGTGTTAAAAGTTAAAAGAATGTTATTTTGACCGCAGAGGTTGTCGTTGTGTTGGGGCATCTTCTGGAAACAGCCTGCTTGGTGGTGTAAAGGTTCTCATAGGGCGCGCTACAGGGTTTAGAGTTCTGCTGAGGTCAATGCTGAGGTTTTTGTGAAGGTAAAGAAATTCTGGGCTGAATAGCAAGGGGGGCTTGAGTGGGTTGGCCCACCACTTTTGTGACCGTACAAAATCGCAGATGCCTAAGATGTGACCTTCTCCGTTTGCGTTTCCCTGAAACCAGGAGCTTGTGCTGAGCAAGATCGACGACATGGTGCCATGGGTGCATGTGAGAGGTTTTTTTCTTAGCGTTCTTTCATTCTCATGCTGTTTCTACGGAGACTGTATCGGGCGTTCATTTGTTTTGTTCACCTTGCAGAGGTTGGCCCGCTGCTCGGATTCTGTATTCAGCATTTTAGGGTTTAGTCAAGGACCGGGTTCTCTCATTCGAGGTTGGGGAGTACCCAGAGGAGAGCCCAATATCCTTGACTAGTGATATGTCAGCATGCAAGGATGCTTAGATGGTTTAAGGGGCATTCCTTAACAAGAAGGTATTGGGCTTTCTCTGTGGTCTTATCATGCTGTTGCAGTCCCATGCTTCTTCGGACACCCTGGCTAGAAGATGTTACTCTGACCTCTTGTACCAGCTTCCCTCACCCCAACACCCGAATGCAGGGGTCTCAATACTTGGTGGATGACATTGCCTTGTATCCCTCTGCACGAGTCAAGAGAGGAGACCATCGGAAGACACAGAGGAACTAGTATATGTTTGTGTTATTCTCAGTATCATTGCCGTGGTATTCTTCTCGCTACTAACAGTCTTTGCTATGCTTAACTACAGAGGCCTGAGGGCTTCAAACTCTCAACCTGTGGATACTCCAGACCCAAACATCGCCCTCCGGCAGCTAACATATGGTCGGCTTTTTGTACTAACTTTGGGACCCTTGACCCCTTACCCATCAGAACCAAAACGGCTCTACCAACCCTTTTAAACCCCAAGCCCTACTAGTGCTAAAGCCCGAAGCCTTGAATCGATCGAAATCAATCCCTAAGCAAAGTCAGCAACGAACTTGTGACCGACCCCTTGTCAAAAGGAAGGACCCTTGGCTGTTTAATCCCAGGAGATCTTTCTAATGCACCTAGACACCGCCTACTAGCAAAACCTTGAGCAATCTTTCAAAACACCGAAGCGTTCTACAAAAACTGAAAAAGCACTCTGCCGCTCCGTGAAACAGCCTTTGAAACCTATCCACAGACTATCCACCAACCTTCAGAAGCTAAGGACGATTTCAACCTCGGCCTGCAAAATCTCGTGATGCATCGCTTCCGGGCTGGTAGAGCTTTGGGGCTCTTAGGTTTGGGGTTTGTATAGGGGGTCCGTGTGGTTTTGGGTTTTTTAGGGTCTGTTGGGATTCTATACGGCTGTAACTCAGGTTTGGGGGTTTTTAGGGTTCCGTGTGGTTTTGGGTGGTTTTGCAAGCTGATTTTATGTCTAACTGGTCTGGATTCGTTGGGAGCGCAGGGCTTTTACGGTTCGGGGACTGTTTTGGTATACAGGGTTTCGGGTTCGCCTGTGATGCACAAGCCATCGATGAGGCGGGCAACTTCGAGGCACTTCGGAGAGACCTCGTTCAAAACATAGTTCAGGGCCTCTCCTTCAATGATACACACTCATTACGACCTGAGCGTGTGCAAACCCCGAGCCCTTGTATATCCCGTAAACAGATATATACATTGAGCATAGACACACGCACACACATGTGTATATATATATATATATATGTATATCTCACATATTATAAAGGAGATAGATAACACATCATATATGATATAGTACATTGCGTGTGTATGTGTATATATATATATATATACATACATACATATATATATATATATATATATATATATATAATATTATATAGAGAGTATATAGCATTGTATATGTATGCGTTGAACCTTAAACAAAGCCTGAACGGCATCCTTAATCAAAGAACCCTCAAAGGCACCCCTGCTGTAACCCTGAGAGTTGGTTGCAGTATTTTTCCTTGTCCGGGGGGGAGGCCAGATTTTAATATAGGGGCCGTAATCATGACCTATACTATTTTTTGGGGGGGGTTCCTTTTATAAATATAGTATAATGGGCGCCGAAAGCCTATTGAAAGTTATCAAGGCCCCTGTATTACTAGCAGGTCTCCGTGGCAGCGCGTAAGGCCTCTTATTCACAAGGGCTCTCCTAGGGTCTATTGGGATTCTATACGGCCGTAATGGTTCCTTTATTATTTATAAGCATTCTCTAGCAGCCCAAAACAGGAACCTATCAACCCTAGTCTCTGTAGACCCTAAACTTGAACAAAATGCCGCGCACATGCCGAGGCCTGGAGCAATTCCTCCAGGATAACCGAGCGTGCTCGGCTGCCAGCCTCTTCGATAACATCGTCCTGGCCCTAGTGCCCTTCATTTATGTCCCAGCATGCTCTGCTGCCAGCCTCTTCGATAATCTCGTCCCGGCCGTGGTGCCCTTTATTGAACTTTATTGCAAGTCACATCAGGAAATATGAGGGTCCTATTCGATCACATCACGGAAAAGTGAGGGGTTAAGTTCGGGGTGTACGGTTAGGGTCCCACAAGGGAACAGGACCTGAATCTGGATCGGTGCGCCTTGCTTCTCCCTAAACTGGCACCGAGGTCCTGGCAGCCCTCACTGTGACCATGTGAGCGTTTATCGAACAGAGGCTCTGTTCGAAAGAGGCCTGAGCCGTCGGGTTCCTTAGTCTGTCAGGGTTGCTCTGCAGGTACGATAAGGGATATGATAAGGGTTCGTATCAGGGTTACCATGCAGGTCCTATAAGGGTCGCTATAAAGGTTCTATACCGTAGAAGGGTTACTATAAGATCTGCGCTCGCGCTTCCAGCAACTGCCCGGGTCTTGAGGCGTGCCTAGCACGCTTCCAGCAACTACCTGGGTCTTGAGGCGTGCCTAGAATCAAAACGGTTCTTTTCCTGCCAAAGGCATCAGATGATGTTTCACGTCGGTGGAAAAACAGGGGGCAAACTCTTGTACTTGGAGGATCATGGGACTTGGTAAGAAGGGTTGTGAGTACCCGAAGCGGGGTTTTCAGTACAGTTGCCTTAATTATAGCCCGAGTTATGAATTGTTACTAATTGTTATGAATTCAATCCCATCATCCTTTAAGTAGGGTTTGTATCCTACGGTTGCAATCCCAGGGTACTGCGAAATTACGGACTGTGCCGGCTCTTAAAGCTCTGGTGCTTCGGCTTTCGCACTGTGCTCAGCCATCCCTGAAAGTCACCATCAGGCAGAGCAGCAATAGGAACAGTAAGTGGGTTCTAGCATCTTTGAAAAAAAACAGTTCGCAAGAAAGCGAACGTTCGAATTCGCTAATTTCGCCGACGATGCTAGACCAAGTAAACCTCACCTACAAGTATCGCTACGACTCCGAGCGTCGGCGGAATTCGCAGTCCAAGAGCAAACCTTCGAAGGCCCCCAAATGCCACAAAAACGCCAGAAGCCGTTATAAGGTTTGACGATTCCAGCTCCTCAATGCTTTTGGGCAGAACATGTTGGGTTTGCAGAGCAGGGCTTAGGGACGAGAGTTCAGGGTTTTGGGGTATCAGGACTGCGCGTGTAGGACATAGACGATCGCACTCTTCCGCGTCTTAACTTGGGAGGTATTCGTGTCCGTTTGAACCTCCCAAGACCCTGAGTCTGTTCGAAGCCATGTGGCGGATGAGCATGCTTGCTGCACAGAGGCCGGACCCCAAAATCTTCGTCCAACTGTCGCTGTTTCAATAGGGTAACTAGCTCCAAAAGGGTTACGAACCCACATGGTCTTTGGGCCTAGGTATCATACGGTCTAAAGATTCCCAGGTCCGTTTAGACCTTCAGGGTGAGTCACACCTCAAACCCCGAACTCTTTGAGACCCTCCACAGCAAACCCGAATGACACGCCGAGCCCTGCCTAAACTGCCCAAAGGGGCCGATCGCCTTGGGTGAAATGGGGGGTGCCGTCGCCAGGGGAAGCCGAGGGTTGAGGATTTGGGGGTTTAGTTTTGGGTGTTGGGTTTAGATCTGATGGTTTCGGATTTAGTGTTTATACTATAGGGGCCTAAATAAGTACCAACACTACTTGGTGGGGGGGTCCTTATTATGATTATGGTACAATGGGCCCCAAAACCCTATTTTCACTATTAAGGCCCCTATCTTAAGGCGATTGCCTCGGGTCCCGAAAGCCCTCAAGCAATTGGACTCCGAGCCCTCCGAACCTCAAAGCGACCTCGAGCCTGAACCGTCTTTGTCAGCTTTTTCTTAGAAGGGGCCCCCACCTGTAATAGTGGTATAATCGGAATATAGTAGGGCCCTAATATAATCCTTTTAGTCACTATTACAGGGTGGGGGCAGCTTCTAAGCTTTTTCTTCAAGAAAGAAGTGTTTGGTTGACTCTTGTATACATGCTAAAATCCTGGGCCAGCGTCTTTGACAGCTATACTCCAAGAAAGATTTTTTTTGACTCTTGTATAAATGCTAAAATCCTGGGCCAGCGAGCGGGAAATCTGATGGAAGTTTGCCGCTTCTAAAAGCCTTCAATCTTAGACCATCATTCCGAATTCCAGGCCGACGTTGCAGAGTCTCCAACCGGCTCAGCTAAAACCCCACATCACCCTCCCTACACTTCAACCCCCAGAAATCCACTTAAACCCTATCAAACCAAGTCAGTTCGATACTCCCATGAAACTACGAAACCCTTAATTGCAAGAGCCCCAAGCGCACCTTTGAAGCCCCACAGGGTCGCGTGGTCCCATCCCTGCCGCCGTGCCAAAGCGTCCATGGTGTCGGAGCCGGGACCTAAGTCTCCAGGTATACTCGGGTTTAAGGTGTAGGGGGTTAGGGTCCAAAGGGGTTTGTGGGTTTAGGGTTTGTGTTTAGGCCTTGACTAGGGAGAGTTGGAAGTGTTTTCAGTGTCGAAGCTTTTCCGACCTGCTGTTGCCGAGTCCTTGGTCCACTGGTCCTGCGGAAGTGAGGCGTTGGCATCCATCCAGTTCAAGGGTAAAGAGTTTTGGCTTTCGGGTTTGAAGATTGTTTCTGTGGCTTTGCCGATTTTGTTCAAACCCCAAGCCCTCGACCCTCCAACCCTACACCGTATGGATTTAGGATTTGACTCCCTTGTAGGGTCGTGGAATGTTCGGGGTTCACTTCTGGGGACTCACGAACAAGCTGCTAATCACCTCTAAACTATGAGAGGTTAGGGTGTAGGATGGTTTAGGTAAGCCCTACAACGGTTGCAGGATTCAGCCGAGATTGTTGTCGGGGACTGTCGGCCCTGCAAGCCTGAACTGCACCTAGGCACCTGGCACGCATTCTGCCGCCTGTGGCGGCAAGATGCAGAGAGGTCACGCCCGGGTTAGCGTGTATTCGGAGTTTGGTTTGCTGGTCTATGCTGGTCTCCTTGGTTTCGGGGAGCTGGTTTTATCTTTACACTCGCTAGGTGAATTAAATTCCGAGAATGTCTCGTAGATGATGAGGCTTTAGCTTGTGCCGCCCCCAGTCTTGGGTATTCGGTTCGAGCAACATTCGTCTAAGCATTCGGGTTGATGTTGGACTTCACTCGAAGGTTCAATCTGCTTTGCGACGGAATCCTGCGGTTTCCGAGATGTGCTCGACCTCTGGAACCGCAAAAGCCTTCAGAAGCTTGAATTGGTAAGCCCTGGGCCCACCACAGATTTCCCAACCGAATCCCCAAAGTCTGAAACCCGGAATTCCTGTGTGGAAATAAAGCCTGTCTCTGCAGGCCCAGCAAGAGGAGCGTGCCCCGACGCTTATCCTGCACATGGGTACTTGTAGCCCTTCATATGAAGATGCCTCCAAGAGTCTTCAGAATGTGTAAGAGGAGCATTCTGGGGTTTGCTGCTTCTTGTCAACCGTTCAGCCGTGGTTGAGGGCTGAGGGCCTTAACTGCCTTAAATATATCATGGGGTTGTTGCACATGTCCGATTTTGTGTCGTACTTCTAGTTGGTACGGCAGCTCTCCAAGAAGAAGTGTCAAGGCGGCTTGGATAGCATCCAGCTCAATGTTAACCGGAGGATGCATCGCACACGACCCTGTCACTGTCAACTTGTGAACATAACGCCCACCCTCCGATCCCGAAACCCTGTTGCACGAGTCTACAATTACTGCCTGTAGTCCCAGAGCGAAAAACCCCTTACTTAAACCCTAACCCCCAAGACCACATCAGCACAGGTTGATTTCTGATCCCCTGGCCTGCCCTTTTCTCGAAGCTTTCGGGCCCGCCCCCGAGGAGTCTGAGGCATCGGGGCGCGTGATGTGTTACCTTTGAAGACTGAAGAGTTACGAATACCACTCCGGCGGGTTCCTATGATAAGTATTGTAAGAGATGTTCAAAAGCCGATTCTAACGATGAAGGCATCGATTATATCGGTACGGTAATTAGGTCCTAGGTCGAAGATTAGTTGCGCAGGGTCTCTGAAAGGGTTGTTCTTCAGAGCTGCTAAGAATAAAGGGTTTTCTGGTGTGTTTGTATAGCAGGCTGTTTTGCTTTTGTTTGTTGATTTTTTGTTTCATTCATAGGGCTTTCTATTCCCGCGTGAAGTTTCACGCAGGTTCCCGGTTTCTCGTAGTCTACCAAGCATGTTCGAAAGGGGGGGGAGGGCAGGCTCTCGGAATTGGGCTTGGAATCAGGCTTGCAAGATGGCAGAGATTCGGCCTCCAGGCTCGTTTTGAGCTTTCATAAACTGGGTTGTCCTTTGGGATCTTTTTTAATTTCCCCTACTATTTTGTAGAGAACCATAATAATAGATAATTTTCAGAGGGCTTAACGGACAACTCAGTCAACCTTTGAGACCAGAGTTGGCTTCGGATTGCTTGAAGAGGCACAGCAACACCCCGAACCAGTATGAAACCTGACATACGTTTTGGATCCTAGCCCCCAGTTAAAGCATTACAAAATACGAGCTTCAAACTAGGCTATCTTCCACTGTTGTAAGCCCAACTATAGAAGCCTGAATAGTTACCTCCACTATTCCCAAGGCTTCTCTTCGTAATTGTAGGTAGATTATAGCTCCTATATCTATAACTACAACATCTACTACATACTCTACCCCCAACCGATTATCATTATGAACGCCCCAATGCAAAACCCTATAAGTCATGCCGGAAGCTTCTACACGACAGCCTCATGAGCCCCAAGCACGGTTTGGGGTTTGTAGGGGTTAGGGTCCCCAAACCCTAAACCGGTGCTGGACCTATGATTCCAGACCAGACTTCCGAAGAGCAGCATCTAAAACCCTAAACATCGTAGCCCATAGCATCCTGGTATAGGGGTCTTATACTGGTTACAATAGGGTTTTGAAGGTTCTTAATTACCTTTTTGATAAGGAGCCGAAAAAGATCGTGCATGAATAGGCCCTTCTGGTTTCAGGAGTGATCTGATTCTGGGGTTCGGGAGCCCCAGCTCTCGTGGCAAGCCAGGAAGTTGAGCGCGCCCGGGTGGTTCATGATGCCTTCCTCGATAGGCTGCTCTTGGATGCTGTATCAAGGCCTGCATGTTTAGGGTTTCCCCTAAGGGTCCATGTGCCCAAATAATGGATACTTTGGTCCCAAAGTACCCCAACAGGGATTACTTTAAGGCCAAAGTATATACTATTTGGGTACATGGACCCTTAGGGTTCGTGTTTTGTAAGGGCTAAGGATGCAGGAACGCTAGTTGCTGGAAATAGTGTGTTTTTCATTGCATGACTTTGTACTGTACTGTACCCCGGCAAAAGAAACGTATCTGGAGCGTCACAGAAAATACCGACATGATAGCATCCTGATGCTACGGACCCTTCAGAAAAAGGCTCCTGTCTTGAGCCTCCACGCAACTGTTTTTCAGATTATGGCAAGAGGTAGAGGTGTCTGTTATGATTGGTTGAATCAGTCCTCAGCCCTGTTGACGCTATTCAGGCCCCTGCTTCTAAGTACCCGTGAACCTCCAAGTATGGATGATATTAAACTGATGGAGTCTCTGGGAAGCCGACAAACAGAAGCCAAACAAGCTGGAAAGTCAGAAAAAGATCGCCCAAACTTGCAACCCTGATCCCTTTGGAGCTCTAAGCCTTCGCCCTCCCACCCCAATGCTGCTGCGAAGCTAGGAGGGTACGTCAGACGTTGCTTCTGGGCTCCGGCTTAGATGCTCGGCCAACGGCTCTTCTGTTGGAACACGCAGGTTATGGCTTCGTGGTCTTTGGTTTGTGTTTGAGGAATGCTTGGTTCATGCTTGGAGAAGAATATATAGTTGCGCCCGGTATTCAGGGCTGTCTTCAGGGATGCGACAAGCATCTCGGTCCTGCACAGGAAAAACTCGAAAGAGCTGAAAATTGTCAGAGACGATTTTGATGAGGATGCAAGGTGTTCAGGGGTTAAGGGGTTTTGAGGTGTACTGTGCATAGCCTGTGCGGTTAAGGGTCCATATTAACATGAGCACCAGTGTTTATCTTGTAGTTTAGCATTGTTCCCTGTTGCAGGAAGTGCAACCGCCTTCAGGAACATCCATGAAGACAAAGCAGACTTCACCTGAAGCCCACCACCCCTTCTGAACTTGTCTCGGGATGCTCGCGGGCTCTACCACACCCTGAACACTTAGAGCCTTGCATGCTTTTGAATGTTCTGCGTTGAGGATGTTCGCGCGTTTCGGCTGCAGCTGCCGCCACAACTCAAGGCTGCGGATTTGTGTGTTGATGGTTGTCCCCTTTTAAAACTTCACCTTGTCATTACTACCGCAAACTATACTGGTACTACTGATGTCAGTTGTTACTGCTGCACTATTTGAGCATGCTCCATCAGAGCAGTAATTACAGCGCAAACCTTACAGTCCAAACCCTAAATGCCCTAAATCCGGCCTGCTTACTGCTCTAATCAAGATTCTGGCATTGGGCATTTGGGGCTTTTCGAGGCTGGGGGGGGGGTTCGAGAAACCCGCTTCCGAGGGCAGTATTGGGATGAAATGTATGGGTTCTGGTGTAACTATAGGTTCGTGGAGTTTGCGACTCATAGCTTTAAACCGTAGCAGTTCACGGGCGTTACGCCTTGGGATGTGTTTTAGAGCTTAGGGTGGTTATGGCCCTTTTGTGGGGTTCGGGGTGTATGGTTATGTCGTGTTACTCGTCGGGTCGAGGGTTTGTTTGCTTATGCTCGAGGTTTCTAGCAGGGTTTAGGGTTTAGGGTTTTGGGGTTTGGGGTTTAGGGTTTAGGGTTTTTCTGTGTCTCCTGAACCCTGTAAACCCTGCCATTCTAGGGTGCCTGATTAGGTTTCCTGGCATGATAAGTCCTCAGCAAGGGCGAGTGGTTTGGGTGTCATTTTGGGGATTGAGATCTAACTATATGGTTGATTACCCCGACTACTCCAAGGGTCATAATCAACCTGTATAGCTACAGACAGATATGGGGTCACAGCAGAGTTTGTGCATAGGCATAGGCTTCCATGGTTTATCTAAGTTTCGAAAGCTGCAGCTTTGCCTTTGATTTCAGTTCGCAGAGAGCCGAATACCATGTACTTGAGCTCCATGAAACGAGTCAGGAGCCCTAGAATACAATGGTCAGGCTTTCTAGGCTTTAAGGTTCAGTAATGCAAATGCTTTTGCTCAGAGGTGGTGTTGGCGTCAGCTTACGGGCACGCAGATTGAATCCTCTAGCCTATTTAGGATTTAGGCTCGAATATAGAGGTCTGCATGATTAGCAACAGTCCTGGCTTGGGCTCCCTGTCAGAAAGCCAAAGCCCCAAACACCTATATGTACTACTCAAGGCTCCAGTATTACCCCTGAGCCTATAAAGCCGTCGCCTTAAGATACATCACAAGGGCTCCAATCATCCAGAAGCATCTTTACGTCGTTTCAAGCTTATGATCTTGCTAAGCTAAGGAAGCTTGGGTACTGTGATGCAGCCAAGCCTTGCGATCCAACGGTTTCAGTTTGTTTTTTGGTCCCAGGCTTTGCTTTGGCTTCAAACTGGCTTTACAGCCTTTCAGAAGTCTGCTCAACATCAACTTGGATACTCCAACCTTGAACCGCTGGGCTTCCACCAGGGCTTTAGCCACAGACCTCATATACCCTACACGCCGACGGGTGACGAACCGAAAGGTCATCGAGGTGGATGAGACGAACGTCCACGAGGCACCGCAGCAGTGGTTGTGGTTGGAAGCCGGATACGTGCACAGGCTCATCTGTAGGATGCAGGGGGTCTCACTGCGATGCAACTCTTAAGGTTGCAACTGGGTTCGGCGCCATAATGCATAAGCCACCACTTGAACAGTTTGCTGTTAAGGGCAGAGGTGTGAAGAGTGGTGGCTCCATGTCCGCAAAATTACGAAGTTTGATTGCTTGGGACGAGTTTTTGTTCACGCCTACGAGGGGAGAAGAATGGATGTAGCGATCTGAACATTTTGAAGTAGACTGTGGTCTTAACGTAGCTTCATCGGCGCCCGCACAAGGCCAACGTACGTCCGTTCTAGGTTGTTGGACCAACTAAAGCCGTTATCAAATGCGGCCCTTGTACTCCTTCTGTAAAAAGCTCTTCAAGAGCCTTCAAATACCTTTGGAAAAGCCCAGATAACAGCCGTTTGAGCGCCTGGAAGCCCCGAACCCTCAACCCGAACACCCACTGAAACCCTAAACCTAAACACCTAAAACCCTCAACAGTCTGGCTGTGTCCGAGTTGCGAGAGCGTAAAACCCTCAACACCGAAACCCTAAACCAGTTATAGCCCTAAAGCCTTAAACCCCTACGTGAACCCTAAAGGCAAAGAGCTTGGTGCTCGAAAGCCTGGGTGCGCGGCCCCGGGCCGCGCTTCGGCGCCTGACTTCGGCGGATGCGGCAGCCGGGCAGCAGCGAAAGAATTTGTTTAGTGTCATTAGGGTTTAGGCTGGGCGTCTATAAGGGTTCTGCAGTGAGAGCTTAGCAGATAGGGTTTCGGATGGTAACCTTTAGAGTTATCTGTAAGTTAAGTACGGATTCTATTATACTTTGCAAAAAAAGATTTTAGGATTTTTTATATGTACTGTGTGCGGATTCCGAGAATTGTAATTGGGGTACATTAGTGTGAAGATTGAGAATCCTCTATTTGGCCAAGTCCTGTCTTGACGCCGGATGAAGCTTGCTAACAGACTTGGTTGGGTTTGGGGTTTAGGGTGCAGGGTTTGGGGCGGCATACACTCCAAGTCCGTGCTTAAAAAGGGTTTGGGGCTTTCGAAATGACAGTTGACGAGTTTGGGTCTTGTTGGTCAGGTTTGAGGGGTTGAGAGCCTGATATAGAGTCGAAGGTGGTGGAGTGCAGGATTTTTCGAAGTTTCCGGTGTAGTGAAGTAGGGCGATAGGCATCTTAGCCTTCTCCCCCTCCGCCGTCACTCTGGCCCCTACATCAGCCCTAAGCTCTTGGAATCCCCGGCCGAAACGTGTGCGCACAGTTTATTTGAGGTTTTGATCTGAAGCAACAAGATCTTCACATGAGAGCTCCTCAACCCTGAACCCCTAGGTAGGAGAGACAAAAACCCAAGCCTCATGACTCAAAAAAACAGCCCCATGAGGACCCCACGAAGCCGTGCTTCTTCATCATCCTCATACCACCGACGGAGGCGATCACTGCCATTCCCCTTCTTGCGGAGACACACGGCTGCAGAAACAGGAACAAAACGCGATGTGCCCAGTTTGTTTAAGGTGAAGCATTCAAGCTGTAGGGCTAGGGTTTATATGGTTTAGAGGGCTCCTTTGCGGCATAGCTCCCGCAGAACTCCCGAATCCTTGCATAGTTCGAGACCACCAGTTACCCGCGTAATTACCCAGTCTGATAATCTCTGCGATCGCGCACTAAATCCAAGCTCAGACGATGACTTCAGTCTTTGTTCAGAGTGGCATGCCGGTCAGCATTCCTAGCATGCTTTAGCTAGACTGCCCGAAAGGTTCAAGCCAAGCGCCGCAACAGCGCAGTGTGCCGGTAAGGCTACTGGTTTCGACAAGAATATACATGCGATGGTACATGGGACCACATGAAAACTGTCAGTCTGGACATTGGGTATTACGTGGTCTGTAAAGTCTAACTGGACATGTGAGCCGCAACTGCTCAAGGCAGAACATGCCCAGGACGATGAAGGGTGATATGAATGTGCCGATGCTTTTCTTGATCCTGCTTCTCGTGCTGATGCTGTTGATGGCGGTGGCGAGGATGATCGGAGCACCTGCGATGTTCCAACAATGCTCAGACTTTGACTGAAGGCATCGCAGCATGAACCCTTCACCTAAACCTAAACCCTGAACCTCAAGTTCAGGTGCGAGTCCAAGTTGCAGGCAGAGTTTAGGGTTTATAGGGGTTTAAGGTTTAGGGTTTCTTCCTAGGAAGAACCCGAAATTAATGGTCTTGGAGGCTGGGAAGAAAGAGGCCAGCTTACATAAGATAAGATGTCGAAGCACGTATGACACGCTCATGGACCTTCTCAAAGGCCTTTTAAGTTATAAGCGCTAGACCTCACACGCAAAGTACAGTACTAATCACACTGTTCTACTAATAATAACAATAATCATACTGATCACTAATTATCGTGCTGGTAACAGCCTTCATCTATGTTAAAAATCACATCAATGAACCGAAGCTTCATGAAATCCAGGATAGCCGGTCAAGGCAGCACAGTCGTGGCTCAAATTCTCCGCTCGCCGCATTCAGGCGGATACTGCTTGGGGTCGTGAGGATGTGCAGAAGAGGGATGAAGAGATTTTGAGCTTGAAAATTCCGGTTCGATGTGTATTGCGAGGGCCGGGTTTAGGATTTACGCATGGTTCGAAGATGTTTTGGGATCTGGACTTTAGAAATCGTGTAGAATTGCCTGGTGCAGAGCTAGCTGAAGCTTTGAAGACGGGTTCTGGACTGTTGAGATTCTGCGACTCTTGACCTAACAGCGATAAACTTGGAGAAGACAGAAACGTACTTGGCTTCTAGAAGCCATTGTTTCAGATCCATAAGCTTCAACGTTCGTCAGTCTGTTTTTCCATGATACCACGCTTCAGTCCAGGTGTCAAAGCCAAAAGCATGCGGGATGCAAAGCGGGTCGATTGATGATTTCGTTATTTTCGAACAGCCTAAACCTTGACCTTGTGGACGTTTGTGGGAAGTAGGCGGCATCACAGGAGAAGGTAGCGTGGATGCCCATGTCTCGGCGATGATCGCAGCTTTTCAGGCCTGTCCGCGACTTCGATATGTCGTTATCGGGTTTGGATTTGGAGATTAAGCTGTATATAGGGCTTAATTGCCCACCGCAACCCAACGAACATTAGCAGAAGGAGATTCGATTGTCATGTTCAGGTTTAGGGTATGAATCAAGATTTCAGCTTAGTGTTGGGCTATTGAGGGTGCTTGTTGTCTTGGCCAAGATAGTTGCGGGTCGTAGACAGGACCCCATACCTCTCAACCCTACAGGCACTGCGCAGGCTCTAACCCCAAACTCTTGCCTTGCAGGTCCATGGATAGTTGCACATGGGGATGATTTGGAGCATTCCTGTGGCTTTCATAAGTTTTCTTTTGGCTTTCTACCCGGGGACTGTCAAGAATGCTTTAAAGGGGCTTTGGGGTTCGTGGTATCCAAACCTATGGATCTTCCTGGGCTTCTGTTTCGAGAGCTCGGTCTGGCTGTCTTACTTATAGAGGTATCTCTCTCTCTCTCTCTCTCTCTCTCTCTCTCTCTCTCTCTCTATATATATATATGTGTGTGTTCAGTCCTCTAACTCATGTTTTCAGGTCTGGGGATTGCATAACTTAAGCCTGGCACTCCCAACCCTGGAACCTATAAGTCTATAAGCTGTTAAACTAACGATGTTGAACCCAAAATGATGCTAAGCACGCCCCACTCTTAATCTCTAGCCTTCAACTGTGCTACAGAAGCCCGAATACTTGCAAGAAACATTTCTTAGGGTTCCAAAATATAGTTCTAGTATACCCCAAAGCACTCTTAGACTTGAGGGAGGCCGCTGTATTACACCCTAAACCCTAAACCGGCCAGGAATCTGGCTGGCAAAGGCCCGAGCGTGTTGGGCATGCCGCCCTGCAAAGATTTTTCGCAGCCTCTTAGATGGCTTCAGCTTCTTAGGTTTAGGGTTCAGGGTTTAGGATACAGGGCTCAGAGTTTAACGGTGTAGCTTTATAGGGTTTAGGGTTCAGATTTTTTAGGTGAGAATGTATTGAGTTTCAGGGTTGAGGGCTTCATTTTTTGTTTGGCGGTGTCGGCCTTTGGGACTTTAGAGTCTTGAGGTTGCCCTGCGGCTTCAAGTGCATGTTGCCTGATCGGCTGCAGCTTTCAAAAGGGTGACCATGACCCAGACCCCAAAAGTCGGTAAATTAATGGCCCGAAGCCTATAAAAGGCTATTACTCTACATACTTTTGGGGTCCAGGTACCTGTTGGTTCATTGGGTCCGGATTCGGGCTTGCGGCTTTGGGCCCAACAAGACCTGAAAGCCATGGAGGGGTGCTAAAACAGAACAGCCCTAGGCTAAGCCCTGAGCCTAAACATGAACCCTCACCCTAAACCCAAAGCCCGATGTCTAGGATGCGAGGGGGGGAAACTTACCCTGGGCTAGTAATTAGGGAATGGAGGAATGGGGTACATTTATAACTACTATTACTACCATTCTTCCAGTCCCTACTAACCAAAGGTAAGAAAATGAGCAGCAAACCCTCGAAGCCGACCCTAACATCCTAGCCTTGAGCCTTTGATCCGGAAGGCTGCAGAACTCGAGGGTATGCCTGAACCCTGAAAAAGATCACCCTGTTCGGGGTTTAGGGTATCGGGCTCCTGATGCTGATTTTTGTTTGTGCATTGTGCATGCTTGAAAAGGCAGGGTTTTGGTGGGTTCTGGAAGGCTTTAGGGGAGAGGTGCAAGAAGTGCAGAAGCTTCGGTATCTCAGGCCCTCCAAGACTGAATCTGCGAAACCCACAAGGGTTGTTAAAAGGGGTTTGCTGGTTTGCGGTCTATGAAGTTTTAGGGTTCAGGGGTTCGGAGACCTGGGGTGTTCGAACGAAGTATGCATCTTCGATACAAGGCACATCAAGAAGACTGGGATGGAACCGTCCCTGACTAAGGTAGGCTCGTCATTCTCAATTCGGTGTTGAGTCTTGATCTTCGGTATGTAGTCTTCCCTTTGAGGGCTTGAATGCAAAGACAAGGACACTCTGCACTCCGTTCTGAGGCCCCGCTGCACTCTGAACCTTGACTGAAGCCTTCAAAGCCCATCAATGCAAGGGCAGTGCGCCTGGAGACGATGTGGCTGCATTGGTCGTTGCGGAGCGCGGCGCCCCCCTGATGCCGGAGAGGCGGGAGGGCTGTACAGGATTCAGAGAGCCCTGCACGCAAACCGGAACGTAGAAAATCCCAACCTTCAAGCCGGAAGCAATGGAGCGTTGCAGCGGACGGGGTTCCGGGTTTGGGGGAGTCTCATTTTCAGAGGTGTCAGTCTTGTATATCATAGAAGGGTGCTCCTTATTACGGAAAACCTGCGTGAGGTCTTGCTGTGCAGCTTTTAGTTTGGGCTAGGGCTTGGGGCTTGGCGGAGCTCAACTTGATGTTTCTCGTTAGTCGTAGGACATGTGTAGTAAGCGTATAAAATGCAGGTGTGTATATGTACATATTTGTATGTGTACGTGTGTATAGATATACATATGTATGTATGTATGGATGTGTGTATGTATATGTGTATGCATATTTATCTAGAGCGAGCGAGAGAGAGAGAGAGAGAGAGAGAGACAGAGAGACAGAGAGACAGAGAGACAGAGAGCGCGAGCCAGCGAGCGAGCGAGCGACAGCCATGGGCACAGCCAGGTAGGAAATACCGGCTACAAGCTAGGCAGCCCCGGGTCCGTATCCTCCAGCCCGAACCTCCCAAACACAACACATGCGCACCTACGCGCACAGATATCTTTGCAAATGTATACTTATAAATACATAGATATGTAGGTAAGTTGATGGATAGATCTTTGTCTCTGTGTGTGTGCGCCTGTGTGTACGTGCATATGTTTCAATGCATGTATGTATGTACGTACGTATGTATGTATGTATGTATGTAATGTGTTAACCATCAGAGTAAGAACCATAATTAGAGCAAGAACAATAATCATGAGAATAGGACCAATATGCACAATAAGATCAAAAAACAAAAGCAACAAAGACTTGCACATATACATATGCATACATATATATATATACTGTAGTGCAGCATAATGTTATGTGTTATGCCGTGTTATACTGTACAACAGCCTATAATGGGATACACCATATATCATATCACAATATACTACAATTTACTACAATACGACATACTGTTCTACGATACAATATAGCTTACCTTGGTTTATTATTTTAAAGCAGGTTTTTACTGTAGCATAATCTCATTACATAATACACGATGTATACATGTATCGTATGTGTATGTATGTATATATATATATATATAGACATTTATTACTGTTACACCAAAGTGTGTGTGTGTGTGTGTTGTATGTGTTTGGAAAGAACAAGGAACGACAGAAAGGGGGACATCACGAGCACAAAGCAGGATGAAAGACTTGACGAATAGAAGAAACGACCCGCGTAACATACTTAAACAAACCAACGACGAAGTACGTCAACATGTGCATATGTATACAGTACACAGTGTACAGGCAAGACTTACGGAAGTTAGGAACGAACCAAAGAACTCACGAAGTGTGTTTGTCTGTCTGTCTGTTTATCTATCTATCTATCTATATGCGGGTGTGTGTAGAATTGTACAACAGATAGGTCAATACAGGTACATGTACGGACAGACATATATATATATATATATATACACACATACACATACATGCACCTACAGTACACACACATAGTTATGATGGGCTTGTCAGAGGACTATCGTGAAGGAGTGCTCACCGCAACCGGACATCTCCCTGCGATGCGGTCAGAGGTTGCTGCATGTATGTGATGTGTGGCCTGCTGGTGGAACTGCAAGAAACCCTGTGGACAAAGTAAGGGGTGAATGATGAAGTGGCCAGACATGCTGGACTTCGTTTTCGTGGTGATCATCTGGGCTTAGACAAGTCTGAGTCCTGTTCTAATGTCGATAAGTGAACCAACGAGTTCATGTGTCCCTCTGAAACCTTGAAGCTCCCGATACCCCGTCTGACTTGTCGAGCGCGAGTGACAAAAAACCCAACAAGCCCTACACCCGAAGTGCCCGTTTCTTTGCCCGAGGCCTTCCGTCAGGGGAGCGAATCGAAAGGAGCCTCTGTGCAGCTGGAGATTACAGCCACTGCCTGTTAAATGCCCAAAGCCTGGGCTTGGGTTAGCCTTAAACTTTCGATGTTGAAGGAAGTGGAAGGATCCGTAGGAAGAAGTGCTTTCTTGTGTGGGCCATCATAGGTAAGCCCTCCTAGCAGGGGTGTGATGGTGATGGTTCAGATCCGAGTGTTTCGAGACTTGACGGTCTCTCCATAACCGGGTTTGGGGCTTCGGGCTTCTGGAACTTAAGGTGTAACCCCAAACACGAAACCGAACCGCTCCCTACGCCCTAAACTCTGAGCCAGCAAGCCAAGCTTTTGGAGGATGGCGCTCCGATGTCATCATATGGCTGGCGAGGTTATGCGCTTGGTCTCTGCTTCGGTACGACTTTGGGTTTCTTGTTGGGTTCGTAACAGGACTTCGGGGTTAGGCTTTATGGATGTTGGCGTTTCGGGCTTGTCTTCAACGTCGTTGTGGGCTTTAGGTTTGAAGTGGTCTCGTCCTTTTCGGAAACCACGTGGCACGAACGAAATGCCAACAAGATTCGGGCAGCGTAGGTCCCCAAAACAGTGAAAGAGTTCGCAAGAGCACTACGACGACCGTGACGACCATGACCATGACGACCACGACTATGACCACCAAGGCGACCAGGATATCCCTAAACCCTAAACCCTAAACCGCAGACCCCGAGGCGACCCAGCAGGAGACGACCAGGAAACCGGATCCTGTCTAAACAATCCCAAAGGGTCCAAGTATAGTAGTATAGGATATACTTTAGGGCCCCAAAGACCTACTAAGTACCTACTATAATGGTACTTGGACCCTTTGGGAATACGACGAGCAACAACTCAAACTGCAATCTTTCGGCGATTCAGCCCTACACCCACAACTCGAAAGCCTCAAAATATCTCAGCTGCAACAATGCGTCGTAAAACCAAACTCCAAACACGCCAACGTCTGAACCACAAGCCCTCGGCCCCAAACCCACAGCAACTTCGCCCATCCTGCAATTGAAACTCCAAACCTCTGGACAATCGAGGATTCTACTTGGACCTACCCCCAGCCGTTTCGTTTGTTTTGTGGGATTTGTGTCAGGGCTGTTAGGGCATATAAAAGACACTACGGATTCATACGGTATTCTTAGGGTCATGTTCTGTGAGGGTGCTCTTTTCAACAAAGCACTCTTACTACTATTATCTGTGTCTAGTCTGCATTGCCGTGAACCCGAGCAGGATGTCGCGGGGCCGTTAGATGGTAGTATCTTGCATTTTCTTTTGAGTATGAATGGCTTGGAAGGTTTTAGGACTCGAGGGTTAGGAGTTTGGGTTTGGTGGGTTCCGAGTTCAGTATTTAGCTTTGGCCTTAGGGTTGCGGTGTGGGGCTTAGCAAGTCTCAAGGCCAAACCCCTGTGCAGGTCCAGGCAGCTGATTCCAAGTGAGATGTGCCTGGTGAGCGTAGCAATTTCCACATAGGCAAAGTCAAAGTGGTTTGCAGGAATCTCAAGTCTAGCTTTTCAACATTGGCGTTTTTTAGCTTTAAGCTACCCGAAGCAGTCCTCTTCGAATCTGAGCTTCTGCAGACGTACGACGTCTTGAGGATGTAAGTCAACACGAACAGCTCATCTGGGATCTTTTCTTTTGAACCAAGGTGTGACACTAGGGTTAGTCCCAGCCCCTCAAAGGGTGAGTCCCAACAATTAGGAAAGGGATATTTACACTCCAGATGTAGTCATAGTACATCCTAGTACACATTAAAATACCGCGAGACCCTGTTCTATTCAGTCAGACCCCTGTATTATTCGCCATGGCCCCTGATGGCAACTGTTATTGCAAGCGGGGTGCCATACTTATCTTACACGGCAGAGCAAACACCCAGAGCCTTGCTTCACCCAGATGCTTATGCTTTGGCCCTGGGCCCTAGAATAGTGTTTCCAATAGGGCTTAGTTCACGGCTTTAGCGGCTTGAAGGAAAACATACTTGCTAATTCCTAGACACTACCATCTGTGCCAAACCCTGAATCAAAAAGGACCACAATAACCCTTGTGTCGGGATTAGTGACGCTTTTTGGACTCAAGGGTAGATAATACTGTAGTGATGCTACTCATTTTGCTCAAAGTCCGAGATAGTGGAGACTCCGAAATGTGTCGAGACAGGAGAAGCTGCTCTCTACGTCTGAAACGAGCGTCGCAAAGTCGCAGCAAAAGGTTACGTGCTCTGATAGGGTTTCGCATGCTCGAAAAGCATCCCCGAACCATTTGGAAAGTTCTAGAATGAAAAAGACCCTCAAATATTCATACCGAATCGCCCGTGGACCTGGCACGGGGGTTCTGTTTCTTATAGGGGCTTATTGGGAAATCACTGACCGTGTCTTGGCACAGTGAGGCTTCTTTTGGGCATGGGCAGAGCATCCCATTGAGACATGGACTTGCAGTTGTTGCTGCTGCTGTTCTGTTGTTGGTTCTAGGACTCCCACTGTTATTCTGCCGACGGCTCGTTGCACAGCCATTTGTTGACTATTGGATGCGCTCTTTGGGTTGTTCTTGCTCTTATTCCCAAGCTCGGTGGCAAGTGCACAGCTTACGCCTAACCTCCAGGAGCCAAGTGACAAAAGCAAACTGATATACGAGTGCCTGCTACAGGTATCGTGTAAATAAGCCACATGAAACCTTCATTATCCGGTCAGTATTGGGGCTACTGCGGCCACGTACCACTCTACACCTTCTGGTTATCTGGGATCGAGACAGGGCACAAGGCCAATAGACTCAAGAAGTAATTACAAATACTACTTCTTTGGATCCCTTTTGAAGTAGCGTATACTAATAACTAGCAATTGAAACCGAAAATGTAGTTCGTTAGGGTTCCTTGATTGCGGTTGGTATCTATTACATGTATATAGATGCATGTGTGTATATATATATATATACACTCTACAATGTATCCCAAAATCCTATTCGAGTTGCGAGGCTTCTATATGAAATTGCTTCTGTGGGGATCCGAAATGCCAACGATCCTGAAATCCCCTAAACCCTAAAGCCCCGATGACTCGGGATCTGATCCCTTCAAGCGAAGCGCTCTTTCGCCCAGGCACATCCCGAGCCGGATGTGGGGCACTCGGAATCAAGCGGTTTGATGAGACCCTGGATCCGAAGCCATCGCAACCGTGCGGGTGGTTGTCAAAATTATGGTCCCTTTTGGGGTGCCCTAAATATTAGGTGCCGTATTATAATAGGGATCCAAAAAGGGACCCTAATTTTGACAACCACCCATATATACCCGCTATCGCAGTCTAAAGACCCGATATTAAGGATCCAGCGATACTTGGGGGTTGCTGGGTTGGAGACGGAGGAGTTCCATACCTGCAGCATTTGCAGATAGGACTTGGGAGCATAGGAACTGCGTGTATGGGGGGAGGCTACCACAGGGGACCTTCATATTTCCAAAGCGTTTTGGTGTGCATTAAAGTGTAATCGTATGGAACCATCGGCCTTATTACGAACCACCCCCTAGCCTTCGAATGTTCGGGGCTTAAGGGTTTGGGCTCCTGAAGTACATCTTGAGCTGCCCTCGTCTGGATACGCGTACTAGCAAGATAGCACGCGGTTCAATGCGTGAGGCCCTTCTCATGTATGCAGTAAAGCTAGGTAATTAAGTCCCAAACCCTGTTGCGATTCCACAATCTCAGATACCTCAGAGCCTCCGCTACCTCACTTGGCTTTAAGGGTTCATTCAAAAGGCTACTGGAAGGGTTGTAGAAGGGCTGCAAAAATATCACTTCGCAAGGGGAATCACACTATCAGGAATGGATTCAGACTCATCAGTCTCTGAGAGCTGGACTCTTGGACAAAAGCTTTTTGAAAAAAGCTGGCGGAATATTTGGGTCTAAGGATTTGTGGTTTCCTGACACACCTTCCGGGAACAACTCCTCAACCTACAGCAATTCCCACACTCGAACCTTGAAGCGGCTCGTCACCAGGACCCCCCAAAGGCCCTTGAATAGAGCCCTTATTGTCCTTACTAGTGGGAAAATTAGAAGGCAGCTGGGGGTCTAGGTAGGGCTTAACAGAAACAGTCCCAGATCTTGCAAGCATTGCATTTTCATCGTCGCGAGGATGATGCCGCCTCGCCGTGCATGAGGCCCGCCTGTGCCAGGTTTGAGGCTTAATTAGGGTTTAGGGTTTAGGGTTTTAGGGCTTCCGGCGGTTAGGTAGTGGACGGCTCTTGTGAAATATCGGTGAAGGTAATTACACTTTGAGCTGCACTGGTGGGGACCATAGGGTTTCGAGCCCTACTTCATGTCACGAGTGAGGCTTCGGGTTCGCCAGAGCAATTCCTCGACACTCGTTTTGTTGAAAGGGTACATCAAGGAATTGGGTCGCAGCCCCAAACCCCGCAGAGTGCAGGTTTTGACCCCGGAAATTATAGGGTATAGCCGCTGGAGCAGTATGAAAGTAGGAAATGGAGAGGCCCTACACAGGCTCGACAGATCTTGTTTCGGAGAAGTTTAATATAGGGAAATTACCTATACTACACTTTTAGGGGGTTCCTCATTATAAGTACAGTATAAGATGTTCTATAATTCCCCTGTTCCAAATCCCGAAGCTGACGCGGACTCAGATTCTAATCATTCCTTGGTGCCCTTCTGACAGCCACTGCAGGACCGCCTGCAAGTATGGGACCAAGTGCTACCAGAGGCACGCACAAAAGACCAAAGCCTCAAGAGTGTATTGTGCGAGATCAAATCCGACAGGGAAACCTTAACTCCTTAGGGGTGCTTAGAAATAACTCTAAATTGGTTATTATTATCCCTAAGAAACCGCTAAAATTATAATTTTTGCTAGGGCTCTAAGTTCAGTACAGAAGCCCTCACATCTAGTTTCTTCTTGTGGGCTACAGTACAGTCTTATAGTCTTGCTGCTGCAAGGACCATCAGGCATAGTAAGTGGGATCACAAGTAGCTCAGTTTGGGGCAGACGTGGCTAGTTATGACATTTTATTTTTGGCTACCTTACTCAGCTACTTATAGCCGCACTCGCTAAGATCCATCATGTACAGAACTTGCCTCTTCGGTTTCTGAGTTTTCCTGGGACCTGAGTTACAATCCCAATACGAGTAATCCAAAAAATGTGGACGCTCTGTTGCAGTCTGCTTGAATCGGCGCCCGGGTTTTAGAACCACTGCTGTTCAGCCGTCTCTCATTGTCAGACTCTATAGAAGCCACAAGCGTTGACCCAGCAATGACTGGACACAGGCCAACCTGCCTTCAAAGGTCGCCTGTCAATACGTCCCAATCACTACACTAACACAGCAAGCGCAAGATCTGTCGCCCTGGACACTGTCTACTACACCAACATCCAACGAATCCATGTTATGAAATCCGTGCAAGCCTGCAGCACCATCCAAGCGTCCCGTTATCTCGTATAGATCCGTAAAGCCCACTGTAACTAAGTATCGCAGGGACAAAGGCCACCTCGCACGGCTGTGGCCCCAGCTGCACTGCTTGGGGACCATGTAGTTCACGTGCACTTGGTTCTCGCCCCTTGTTGCAGGATTCTTACAAGTCTGCCTTAGAAGTGGTGGCAAAGGCTTAACAGTGTTTGAAGGCATTTTGTGCTTGATGTTTCTGCAGTACACACAGGGTAAGGATTCATGTATGGTGAACTTCAAAGCGGACTTGGGGCTTAAGGGCTTTGAGTAGGGCTCTGGGATCAAACGGCTTTTGGGTGTAGGTTTTTATCTTGGGAGTTTGCGTGCAGCAATGTTTGGGTTTTTGGAATCCTAATTTGGGGGCAGTAGCGGGATGTGGGGTTTCCGGGGTCCCGCTGCGGGTGTCGAGGTGCAGACTCACGATATTGGACCCGAAACCCTAACACTTGAAGCAAAAGACCCAAATCCCTGAACCTACAAATGTTCGGCTTAACCTCGCTTGCGACATTCTTGCCTGGTGCATACCTTTCCCACACACCTATTTCGCCAAGCAGCCATGACGGATGTTCCCTTCGTACGTAGGTACCGAAAGGAGCACTTAAAGGGGTTATTGAAGGGAATCGTTCAAGGAACCCCTAAAAGCGTGGTGTCGATGCTCGCCTCCAAGGTTTGCGCACCCTGGCGATCGGAACTATCGGCTGGGGCTTGTCGAGCCTGGGGCCATGGATACCGGGTAATTCTCTAAATTAGGGTATCGTTTTGGGTCCGGCGCCCTTATAAACAGTACCCTAAAAGGGACCCTAACTTAGAGAACTACCCATGCAGGGATGTATTGGGTATAGTATTTAGGGTTTTATGTTCAGTGCACTGGAGGTCATAGGGTTCAGGGCCTCAGGGCTGTGCAGGTCACGGGTCAAAGGGTTAGTTTAGGGCTACTTGTATTGGGGTTGTCGGGTTAGGGGGGCTTCGTCTGTCTTGGGAAAGTTTCGGGGCTCGGGGGTGTCGGGGTTCAGGGGTCAGGGTTTCGCGTTTAGGAGTTGCGAGGTGTGCGGTTAAGAGTGCAGGGTGTTTCGGTTTGGCGCAAGTCGGTTTAGTTTCGGGTATTTCTGCAAGGTTTAGGGCCCCGGCTTGTCTTGCTCATCAGTTGCTGAAGTTGTCCTTTGCTGCCTGTGAGCCCCAAGTGGAAACTTCCCCAAAACTCCCAGTCCTAAACCCTGAGGGCTAGTTTTGGAGCCCTGCCCAATCGGCCTCTGGATCGAGACTGCCGGTTCCTTCGACCGCAGTGGCGGGGGCACCGCACTTTTTCCACGAAGTGGAGCGGCTTGCCAGAGCCAGATCCGCCGTTTTCCTCGCCCTCAAGCCGGACGACGAGGATGCCCAACGTTTTTGGGCGAGGTGTGACTTCGGCCCTCTCCACGGCTTTGGGCAGCCCTGGCTGCTGATGCTGCCGCCTAACGGCGGCTCAGTGTGCAGAGGTGGGGGCCCGCTTTGGAAGCGAGGCCACGGCCGTGGAGGCAGTTTGGACCTGCTGGTTGAAAAGAATTGCTCCGAGCAGGGATTGAGGATGGCCATATTACACATACCCTGATTGAACAGCTTCCGGTTTCTTCATGGTACCTGGCCCCAGAAGTTCAAGGATTGTTGTGTTGTTTTGATTCCCAAGCTTGCCTCGGTTTCTTTCAGTGAGCAGTTTCGGCCGATGTCCCTGTTAGAACGAACCGCGACAAAAGTTGTATGCTGGCCTACTGACGAACCGCCTTCAATCCACGTGGCCCCGAATGGTGAATCACCTGGCAAGCAAGTGCTTGACACGCTCTCTTGCACCACCGCTTTCGTCACCCGTGAGACGGTTGAGGATGCGCACTGTGTATGGGTAAATCTTGAAATACGAGCGGCTTTTGATTCCGCTCAGTACAAGCATCTTGCTGAACATGTTTACAGTAATACTGGTCCAGATTATTGTCTTGAAGGGGCTAGGCTTCTGGAGTCGATTTTATTTCCTGTCATGCACTTTACTTGGGCTGGACAGGAGTGAGCGATCGTCGCAGACAGAGGTGTGCAAAGAGTTCGACTGGCAGATTCGACTGGGCTTACATCGACGATATCCTTCTCAGATTTCAGTCATGGGAACCAGCTGCGGCGGAATGTCACACGCTTATTGAATTGTTGAAGCAGGCTGGATTTGTTCTCAACCTAGACAAGACGACTCTTGCGGCTCCCCCTGACAGTCTCGCTGCTGGCGTAAGTATTTGAGTTAATCGCTGCCTGACCATCCGCGTTTGCAGTGCACATTGGCCACTCCTTTCACATACCTCAGAAAGAACATTGAATTTGTCGAGGGCCTCACGCCCAGTGTTCTTTCCCATGCTCAGCGTGCAAGCAATCAGAAACTGTGCGAACACAGCAGCTTGTTATAAGCGTAGCTGGCACCCGGCCGCTGGTGCTTGCAGAATGTATATCAAGTATGTTGCTAGCTCGTGGCTGTGGCTTAGTCCGCTCCTGACGCCATTGGATATAGGCTCAACCTGTCAAGCTACAACTGCCTTGGCTGATGCACGCGTGCGTTCAGGTCATTCGTTTGTGTTCACGTGGATTGTTCAAACACATGGTGCGCAGCAGTACACTGCACTGGGTCATACTTTGACATCTTTGCGCTGAGTGCTGCGGTTATCTGCAATTTGGACATGCTCCTCTCACTGCTGTGGCGTTGGCAACAAGTGACGTCTTTGAAGCCGCGCTTCCGAATGTCGTGAAGTATGTCAATGATCAGTTCCAACCCATTGGATTTGTGATGCAGTTGGAAGTGGTACCTGATGCAGTTGTCATGCGGCATGCGTGCTGCCGAGGTCATCTTTCTGTGATACAGAGTACTTTCGTTTCATACACATGCAACCGTGTGCTGGCATCTAGCAAGTCCATTGCTTTAAAAATATATGGTTCAATACATGCTTCCCCGTTGTTGTTTGGATTTTTGGGGTAGGACATGCAGGGTTTACTGCTCAAGGCCCTTGTCGTTCATTGTACTTCGGGTTCGTTTGACTGTGGCGCCGCCCTAATCTTAAACTCCCTATGCCAGAAGCCACGGACCCTAAACCCGAGGCCATGATCCCAAAACCTCAAACCTTCTGCCCTGAGCCACTACCGCGAAATCCTCAGCACTCGTCATTCAATCCTGGAGAAAACCTTCCATACTTTGCGATCGCTATTGCTAGTACTAATCACTGTTGTTGTTGTTGCTATTTCTGTCAGCCCTACCGCTACTAGAGCTACTACTGCTGCTGCTACCACTACCACGACGACTGCTATTGTTACTGTTAATTGCTGCTTATTGTTCCTCTCCTTCGAACCTGTGTCGGCCCGGAACCACATCCCCCATATTCCACATTGAACCCGAGTCTCTAACACCAGAATCTTCCACACCGAACTCCCAACGTTGAGTCCGAGTGCGAGAGCGTAAAACATTGAGTCCGAAACACCACGCTCCTTGAGCCCCAACCATTAATTCCCCACCCTCAGCCTGAACCACATAAAAATCAACCTTCTAGCTCCTCCCAAAGCCCCAGGTCTCCAAGCCCAGATCAAAATCTAGCTAGTGTCAGGTTTCCGCCAGGGTTCCAGCCTGAGTTCGAATCTTTGTGGCATTCCGGACAAGTTTGTTAATCAGGCTTCCGGGCGTCAGGGGTTGAGGGTGTAGGTATTGTTTCTTTCAAGGCTTCAGCAATGCACGCAGTGCTTGCTGTCATTTCGGGTTTTGCGGATTCACGGTTGATTATCCCCAAGAAGGGGCCCCGACATCCGAGAATCCAGACAAGTCCTCGGATACTGCCGAGTTCCCTCCCGAAGCCCATAAACCATCATAAACCCTAATTGAGGCTTAAACCTTAAATCCCAAACCCCTAAACCCTAAGCCGCTTACCTGGCAATTCAGAACAAAACCGTTTCGCTCTTCATAGCGGAGTCTGCTCCTTGGGCTACGGGATCGTTCGTAATAGATTCTACCTAAACCCGAGGGCTCCAACTGTACAAGTAGTACCCACTTTGGGGTTTTGGGTTTAGGGACTTGAGGGCTCCAAGTATACAGGTAGTACCTACTTTGCGGTCTAAAGCCTTACAGTCTATACTTGAACAGTACCGCCTTTGGGGTATTTGGAGCCCCAGGGAAAAGCACACCCTACACTTTGTTTGGCAGCTGGTATCTGTTGTACCCTCTTAGGCACAGCTTTACTTCATAATCTTTGGCTATGTATTTTGAGAGGTGGCTGCTTCAGGGTTTACGCTTGTAGTTTGGCTTTAGGGTTGTGCGGTATACTATAGAAGCCTCAATAATTACCAATATTATTCCTTAGGGTTCCTTGTAATATATTTAAATATACTATAAAGGAGCCCCAAAACCATAGATAACCTTATTCTATTTGTTAAGGTCCCTACATGACATGCCCTATTGCACGGCTTATTGTGGTTTTACGGCCGTGGAGTTGAAGGATTCCAGGATGCGGGGTTTTGGGACTTTGCGGTTTAGTGCTTGGGGTTGCCAGCTCTTGTTGGGACTTCCAGGCCGGATCCTGGAGATCAATCCGAAGTTTTGTGAAAGGTGCAAGGCAAGGTCTTTCAGTTTGAAGGATGCATAACTCATCGTGCATCACGCGAAGTGCGTAGAGAAGCTCGGGCATGCAGTCCAGAACGAAAGTGCGAGAAAACGTCTATGCACCGAGTGCCAAGCACGTCATCAAGGGCAGGTGCCTTCGGCCACTCCTACTCAGGGCTCGCGACACTTAGGCATTGTCCTGGGGCGGCACTTTTGTAATTAACGCTTCTGTTCAGTATTCTACTGGTATTAAAGAGCGCTTCTAGTCCCTTGAAGGAGACCTTATACTACTGCAGTAGTACCCTTAAAACCTCAACGGGTATCCGCCATATGCCAGGCAGCTTTTCCGCTTCCACGACCCAGACGAGTCGCCTGCATGAACGAAGCTCTTTGGGGGTTCAGGATTCGGAGGTTTTGGGGTGTAGGTTCAGGATTCTAGGGGGTGGGGATGTGACGGGTCGACCAAGGTTTCTGTGCTCAAGGGTTGCGGGTTGGGGTTTGGAGGTGTTTTACGCGATTCACCGCATGGCCGATGCGACTTGTCCTTTTGGTCCAAATTTGGTTCTCTTGCGGTGATTTGCTTGGTAGTCGATCCCGAGAAGAGCGCAGATCGGATGGGTCTTTTCAACACGGCTTGCACGTACGTGCATATGTACATACGTACATACATGCACACCCAGCGAATCGACAGGGGACCAAGGCGCGGTGCAGTTTCCACCTCTTTTGACCTGCGCTGCGCAGGGAGTCAGACCTCAGAGGCCGTTGCTTGGGCTCTTTCTGTATGTCCTTATGGTGAGCCTCACACAAATGATAATGAAGACCACCGACTGCCAGAAGTAGTAGGATCATTGATTTCAGGAGCTTCATGATAAGGTGCCCCTAAACTAATTATAACAAGCCTCCAGACGTGCAGAGGCAGAAAAGCGGGCAGCTCCTATTGAACTACTGTTGATTTGAGGATGAGCTCGAGCTCGGGCTTTCTCATGCATGCATGTATGTATGTACACAAACATATTGCACACACCCTCAACTGCTACTTCTACTACGGTTCGCATTCGCAGACCAAGAACACGAACACCAAAGCCAAAAGTCTAAGCCCAAGCCTTCAACTAAGTGAAGGATCACCATATCATAGGGGCCTAAACCAAAGAGTCTTACTAGTCATCTAGATATACAAATTACACCCCAAGCACCCTGTTGCCCTATATAAACCCTCAGCCGGAAACCCGAACCCCAGGTGTTCGTGCACTGAAAAAAAAGGTGCGCTAAAAAGAAAAAAAATATCCCCATACTTTCCTAAACCCGAAACCCTAAACCCTAAACCCAAACCCCAAAAAGCTTTAACCCCAAGGAGGCGGTGCCCTTTAGATTCAGACTGAGGTCCGGTCACCTCTCCAAGGAGGAGTTTCGGATGCTTTTGCTGCAGTCCTTTGCCCAGAAATCGGGGGTTTCTGGTTTAGGAGTGGTCGGTTTTCGGGCCTCAGCTGAAGAGCAGCGGAGGGCAGTGCTGGCAGTCATCAAGTCCGGTTTCAAAAGGAGTGGTCGTTTACGGTTTTATAGTTTACAGGCCAGGACCTGGGCCTTTGCTAGCCCACAGCCGCGCGTTCGGGAGTGTTGTGTTTATTTGTCCGGGGTCTTTGTTTTGCTGAAGAAATTTATGGCTTAGTGCTTGTGACTACACGTCTTTGTCGGTATGGTGCATATGTTGTAGTGGCTCGGAGTATGTACCTGCAATACACCCCAAAACCCTGTTTACGTTTTTGATGGATGGAGCCTTGAGTTTAGAAGCTACTACAACTTCTGCTTTTGGCTTGCATGCAGGGTCTAGAATGTCGACTTCAAGCAAAAGCCTTCACGCCTGAAGCCTGCATCCTAAACCCTATAAGCGCCGTGAACTCCAAACTGGGATGAACCCGACAACCCAAAACATACAGCCCCGACCGTATGATACCTGAACCCCAGATAGGATGACCGCATGAAAGAAGGAACCGGTTCTCATCACCCCAAATATAGCCAGAAACTCGAGACCAAAAGGTTCCGAGGTTTAGGAACGAGGGTTTAAGGGGTCGGGGCTTAGAGCCTGGTTTGAGGATCCGCAAGAGGACTGGAATTTAGCGCTTCAAAGGACGCTTAGACAGTAATTCAGAGATTCAGAACATTACATGCGTATAGTTCGTCGATTGGGATCTTGATTTTCCTGGTACGTAGTACTAAGACCCGCATTGAGCTACGAGTGCTATGACGAAGCCCCAGAACGCCCAACCGCCCCAGGTGCCCACATCTCTTTCTGGAGAGCGAGATCACCAACTTCCCGGAGGCAAAGCAGTGTTTGTAGGTTCGGGTGAGGTGTTGTGCGGGGCTGACGAGGGCTACTGCAAGTCCGTATAATGAGTACTGGCATCCAATTGTAGCCCCTGCAGGTCTAATACCATTATGACTTTGTTATATAAGATGCCCAGAACCCATGTTCGTAGGGTTTCGGGTTTTTAGGTATTGTGGGGTTCGCCCCGCGGATTATCATCACGAGGCTTTGGGGGCCAAATCGTGCATATTGTGACCCTCGGCAGACTGACAAATTGAGGGCTCCAGAAGTGTTGATTCGGATTTCGCTCGAGCACTGATATGGGTAATGATTTCCTATGGCATATTACGGCTTCCCCATAAATCCTGTGTCCCTTGGTAGTAGAACGATATACGACCACCGATACCACTGTGTCTTTTTGCACACTGAGTCTTCTGTCTTGGCAAGATGCCATATCCGTGCCTTATCTCTACCCTCGTCTGGTGTCGGGCATCCTATGCCCAAGACATTCCCCAATTCGAAACCGAAACGGTATAGGGTGCACAAGTGTACATGACGGGTTGAGAGCAGGGCAAGCCAAGCATAATCGATGTTTCTGACCAGAGCACCCTGTCACACCCCAACATGTGTATTTGCACGTGTATGTGTATACATATACATACATACAGAGACAGACAGAGACACAGATGGACAGACAGACGGGCAGATACAGACATAGACAAACAGATACAGACAGAGACAGGCAGACAGACAGACAGAGACAGAAACAAACAGAGACAGACAGAGACAGAGAGAGACAGAGATATAGAGAGAGAGGCAGACAGGCAGACAGGCAGACGGGCAGGCAGGCAGGCAGCCGGACTGAGAGACAGACAGACATTCTTAGCAATCCAGACACAGTGCTACAAGCACGTATGTAAGAAGTAGTTACCACCATCTATCACTTCCCCCATAGCTCCCCAGTATATTATACTGCCCCAATAACAGCACTAAATGCAGGTGCGACTTGCTCTAAGGCCTGCGGATTCTGCAAAGAGAATCCTTGCATCAAACATCTTCGAGAGATATTGCGGGTTTCCGAAAATTCGGGGACCCTAATATAGTCCCCTAAATAGTAGGATCTTTTTTGCAAGGACCCCAAAATAAGGTACCCCCTAATTATCGGAAACTGCCATATCTCAGGTTTGGAAAGACGTCCGGGCCTCAGAGTTAAGAACTGGGGGTCTTCTGTCGTTGGAATTGTGGGGTCTTAGGATCTCTTAGATCATTTTTGGGTGGTTGGTGGGTGTTGTGGGTTTACAGTTTCCGGGGTAGTTGAGTTGTAGCGAGCATCCGGGTTAAACCTTCAGGATTTTCGAATGTGGCGGGGTGAAGGGCTTTAGACGGACTCCGAGCCAAAAATGTACACAATTTGTTTGATTTGCTCGGGGATTTCTGACACGATTTTGTCGCACTTGTCGGCGAAGCATGTTGAGTCACATGCTCCTGGCAGCATTTCGTCCTATGGACACCTGGGAGTTTCCGAAAATTAGGGGTGCCTTATTTGGGGGTCCTTATAATAAGGATCCTACTATTTCGGGTATTATAATAGGGTCCCCTATTTTTGGAAACTCCCATATGTTCTTGTTTCGGGCTGGAACAGTCATAATCATGCTCGTGATGAAATCCCTGAACCGTATGATCCTCTGATTTAGAAAGGCCCTCACCAGACGTGTTTGCGCGCCGAGTCAACAAACCACGGCAATTCTGAAGGCCAATGCAGCACCCAGCCGTAGCGGGAATCTAGGTGTATCAAATAATGTGTAAACCGTGTAAAACCCTTTCTAGCTTAGGACCTTAAATGCCGAACAACCTTCACCCTTAGACCGCAGTACCCTTATAGCTCTTAACCCCAAAGCACCAAGAGCGTCAGGCACCCCGAAGCCCAAACTCCAACTCGACGCAGCTGTGTATACTTCAATGGGTCGTAGTTCTATCCCTTAGCCTTTAGATTTTCAGCGATAAGCCGATACCCCTATATACAACCCTGAACACGGTGCAGCACTGGACGGATACTGATTGCAGAACTGTTGAGCTGAGACAAACGCGCAGCGCATGTACTGTGCAGGAGCAAGAGATGGCACAGATGCGTGCATTTCGCCGACGAAACGTTTGACTTGGAGTGCAGGGCAATGTCATAGCTCACTGGTTCATTTCCTCTGCGTCTAGTGACTAGTGACTGCGGTATTGGAATTTGCTCAATGCACCTGCTTTGTACCAGCTTGTGAAGGTCCCTACCTGCCTAGCAGACTTCGTCAAGCAATGCACTTGGCAAAGAGCCTAAGCCCGAAACCTTACACGAACATCAGTAAGGCTTGTGTACCCCGCCCGAGCCCTCCATAGCCCAGGGAAATCCACAAGCGTGCCCGACATGTTCTAAACCCATCATGGGAGACCGTCGGCCATGGAACGGTGGCAAGGGATACGGCGGCGCCAGGCCGGCTTGGGTTCATGATGCATTCTGTTAGATTTATGCTGAGGTGTTGTCAGATGCATGTCGCTGGTGTACTCGGTTCATGGTTGTTTTTGTTGATGTGAAACATGCTGCTGGTGAGTCAGACGTGGGTGATGTGATCTGTGAGTGTGGTGACTCTGGTCTGTGTGTGTGAGTCTGCGATGGGGGGTTTGGCGGTGTGTTTTGCTCTGGCTTTGTGAGCCTTGCTGTTTTGGGAAGAACCCGAAGAACACAAGGACATCCTATAAGCCCGAGACCTCCAGTAAACTCGTGCACGATTCATGGAAGAGCACAGCTTCGTTCAACCCAACAACGGAAGCAAGCACAACACATGAAACTATGAGAAGCACAAACTTGCCGGAGCAGCCGTGAACAAGATATAACTATCAAAAAAGAACCCACCAAGCTCTTAACTTAAAACTTTGCTACACCCTATGATCATATAGACCCAAAACCCAAAACCGTTTACCTAACCCTGAACCACATCACACTGAACCCTATAGCTTTAAGCAGGCCTAATCCTGTACCAGTGCCGCAACAGCGCATCAGCGGGACGCTGCGCCGAGGGCTGCAACCAAGAGGGGCGTTTTAGGGTCTTGGCTTTTTGAGTTTAGGATTCTGGAGGCAAGTCCTCTTTTTGATGAGTTTCGTGGGGTCTCTTCATGGGAGCGTTGGCAAAGGCTAGAACGGTGGTTTGGGAGGGTTCCTGACTTCTTTTCTATCATGATTCAGGAGTTTGTACATCAGACTGTCAGGACAGTTTAGGGTTTAGGGTTTAGGGTTTGTGTCGTTGAAAGGGTTTCTTGGGTTTGGTGTTCTGGGTACAAGTAGGGATTCAGGTGCTTCCGTGGTTGTAGATGGGGTTCTACGGAGTTCGTTAAAGGGTATTGAGGACTCTAGGCCTTTTCGGTGCTCTTGGGTTAATTTGGGTTGAGATCGTAAGGGTCTCGGCTTCATGTTTGGGGTTGAGGTCTGCTTTGGGTTCTTGTGTTTTCAGATTTGGGGTCTTCATGGCGTACGACTAATTACGTACTTGGATTGAGAATTTGGGGGGGCTTTGGGTTCAGAATTCTGGTTTCTGTGTAGGGTCTACCCAATCATTTTCAGGTAGCCCTTAAGTATTCCAAAAACAGAATCGCAAGCATCCATGACCCTTTTTCTGGATCAAGTACTGTAACTACCATGCTTTCAGGGAAAAGCAGAAAGCCAGCAAAGCCTGCCCGCCGGACTCAGGAAGATCTGCGACCCGCGTTCTGGCAGTGGTTCCACGACAGAGAAGAGTAACTAACATACGCGAGGGTCCAGTTTCCTAACCAGTAGGTTACTGGGGTACATAATATTAATTATATATATATATATGTATATATATATATATATACACATATTATATATATATATATAGTTATTAACCTACTATTTAGGTAACTGGAGCCCTCGGGGTGTGTGGCGCAAGTCTGCCTTGCAACCCTTCAACCCTTCTTCGTTCATCGCAACACCCCTAAAGATTGACCCTGAACCCTAGGCAAACTCCTAGAGCCCTAAAGCCCGACACCCTAAACTCTAAACCTTTCACCTTGAATCCTAGAAGCTGAACTTATAAGGTTGAACCAGAGGGCAATATAGCGCTCACTGCTTGTTTACTCTGGGTGATCATGCATTGCCAGTGTGAGCGTGATTGCGATCTGGTTGGCACGGTGAGTTCGGCTTAAGAGAGGGATCCTTCGTCTTATTGGTGTGTAGTTGGGGGTGGCTTGAGCTTCGGCAATGCAAGGACCCCTTTCGGAACCCTGGAGTTGCGTTCGGACTTGGGAGAGTTTCGGGCGAATTCCCTGCGGTGCGACTCTGTCAGCTGGGCGGGTGGGAAAAATAAGGTGAACTAAACCCTATAAGTTAAGTTAGACCTAAACGCGAGAAGAAAGCTTAAACCCGGTTTGCGAATGAAAGCCCTGTAAGCTAGGGCAAACCCCAACCTAAACTAAGCTTTATTAGCTAGGCTAAACCCTAAACCCTGTAAGCTAAACTAAACCCTACAAGCTAGGCTAAGCCCGAAACCCGAAGCTACACTAAACCCTAATCCTTGTAAGCTAATTTGGGGGCCTGAATAATACCTATACTATTTTGTGGGTTCCTTATATTAGGTATAGTATATTGGGCCTCAAAACCCTATTGAAATTATAAAGGCCCCTATATTCAGCGCTTATGCTACCCTTTTAGTACCCTTATAATATCCCTTAAAGGAAGCCTTGAAAGGAACCCGATTCTAATATTAAGCACGCTCGAAGGCTTGATCGAAGTAGACTCTGAGTTCTACACTGCACCCGGCACATCGGTCCCAAGCCAAGTGGCTTGGCAAGAACCCTCGACCTAGTAGTAGAGTAGGTGACCTTTTCCATTTTCGGGGGTACTATAATACGCTTCGAGGTTAGCCTTTAGTTGCCAAGGATACTGGACAAGTAGGTCAATATTCAGGGCTCGCAGGGTTTAGGTTTTCAGCTGAAGGGGTGCTGTTGGTTTTTGTTTGTTGTTTTTTATGTTTTTGGTTTAGGTTTGGTGTGAAGCTCTTGTTGAAGGTTTACTGTTCAGGGCTTGATGTAGGGTTTGAGGCCAACAGGTTGAAGGGTGTAGGCTGCTGCAAAGAATCGTGCTAGATTGGGGCTTCCTGTGAGTTTACGACAGCATTTCCACGCACCACAGGTATTAACGAGTCATGGTTCGAACAGCCCTCACTAAACTTCACTTAACCCTAAACCTAAACCATGATGTATCATTCACTCCTCTGCAACCTCGCGAGCTGGCATAAATCCCGGCCATGCGAGAAAAACTTTGATATGCCCGGGAACTCCTGGAGACGATGATCCGTGAACCCGAAAGCTTCACGAGAAGTCGAACGAGCACAATGTGGATCTCTCAGCCCTGAGAGCAGTGTAGCTGCCCTAAACCCTGAAGCCTTAACTACAGGGTGATAGCCTACCCCTTCTGTAGGGAATCTAGTACTTCTCTATCTATAGCAGATCCTCACCACAAGACTAGGCACCCCGAAAAACAAGGTACAAATAATTACCTACATAATTTTGGGGGCTGCTTATTAAAACTATAGCATCATATACTACCCCAAAGCCCTATTCCAGTTATAACAGGCCACTCTATTAGATGCCGGCCTCACGAAGGTCTTGCTGGCGTCGAATGCGCTTGATGCAAGTGGCTGGCCTTCCATCTTTTGTGAGTTTTGGATGTGCGCCCAGAGGTTCAGGGCATGTCTTCAACTGTCAGGTCAAGCCCTTTTGTGCTGTGCCCGATATGAATATATAGGATTTGAATGTCTGTGGATTTGGAGTCGAGTCTAGGGGAAAGGTCCCTCGATACAAGAGCGGTTGGAGACTAACCTGTTCGCCGCCAGTACCAAGGAGGCCTCCCTGCAGAGTCCTTGCAGGATGTGGCGGTGGAGTCCGATTCTCAGACACCGCAAATCCTGAACCCCCACTGGAATCTTCAAGACCGGAAGGCCTTGAAGTAAGTCGAAGGTTTCAATAGCTTCTTACTCTCAGGATGGAAGTTGCTTTCTTTAAGTTCGACCTCAAGTGACAAGTCCGAGTGCGAGAGCATAGAACCCTGAACTGTACCTGTAGTCTCCATTGCAGTTGCTTTGTTGGGTTCCGTTTAAAGGAGGCTATATAAATCTGGTTAGACTTAGACCAAAAAC